GAAGAAACAGGCGGCAGACAGCGGAAGAAATCGCTAGACACACGACACAGGCAACTGGACGACCGATATCGCCTTTTACCGTGGCCAGAAGACTGCACGGTGGTGGTCTGTTTGCACTTTGACGACCCCGTACGGTGTGTACCTCTAACGCCTGCCCATCGGAGAAGGCGTTCTCGGTGGTGCCGGGAACACCGGAATTGGAGAGACAATGAATGGGGACGAGTACTCGTTACAGATGAGAGCAGATTTAGTCTGAGTAGCGATTTTCATCGCATACTCATCTGGAGAGAGCGGGGAAGCCGCAATCATCCCTCGAACATCATTGAAAGGGACAGGTATGGAGGTGACGGTGTTCTCGTTTGGGGAGGCATCATGCTTGGTAGTACCTTCACATCTTCGACGCAGGTTCAGTCAACGGGACCCGTTGTTGTAACGAGATTCTTCTTCCATATGTGCGTCTTTTTAGAGGCGCTATGGGTCCGCAGTTCCTTTGTTCCTTTTCATGGACGACAATGCACCATGTCATCGCACAGTAGCTGCCGAACAGCTCTTAGAGAGTGAGGATATTGAACGTATGAATTGGCCGGCACGATCTCCGGATCTCAATCCCATCGAGCAGTATGGGATTCTAGGCAGACGCTTGGCAGCTCGTACCTTACCACCAGTAACGAATCCGGGAGCTTCGATTGGGCGCTGCAAGAGAAAATGGGCAGCAATGCCTCAACAACTCATTGACACCCTCATTCTCAGCATGAGCAGACGCTGTGAAACCTGCCTAGCAGTCAGGAAAGATCATATCCCCTATTAAAGACCAAATATTTCTTGCTGGACACCCATCACAGGGATATTTCGGCCTTCAGTCGCATGGCGCTCCATGCTACTTTTTCTTGAGCTACAAAATCTTGAGTCGTGCTTGAAACTTAAATCAAGAAGTTATAAGCCAGATTTAATCAATCATTCAAAAGGCATGCAAAGCCAATGCTCCCATTGATATAACTTTGTGTTTATATATATGCATACATATATATTATTCTGTATTTAAAGCCGTTTATTTTAAGTCAAATATCAAATATATATAAGCAAAACTATAATACTGAAACGAAACTTTTTAGTCGCTCTTTAAAACCTGGGAAATTTTGTAAACTGTAACGTTTGGCTCTTTCGTTTCAACAGGTTGCTGACATATGTCCTAGGATCATCGTCCCACCAGCCGCCGAGCGGTAAAGTCTCTGAATGCTGTCCATGATTTTCCACCCCCAGGATTTGGCGATTGTGTCCCCTAATCCCCAGTCGCCATTTAAAAGGGGGAATATATAAGGTATTTCTCCCACCTTTTTAGCATGCCTTCGTAGTGTAGTGGTCAGCACGTTCGGCGCGTATTCGAGAGGCCCTTGGTTCGAGTCCCAGCGAAGGCTTTGCTGATTTTTCACCTCTCCTGCTTCCAAAAAATACCTAATGTCTGTACAACATTAATTTACATTAGTTGTGGTACAACATTATTTATTCATAAGGATTCTGTTTTATTATGAAATGTATGTCGAAATAACAAAAAATGTACAGAATGTTAACTAGAACTTTAATATAAAATATGTGGTTCTTATTTTTATTTACGTTTATTTACTGGACATTTGTTTAGATCTTTCCTTGCTCTCTGTTTCGATATGAAAGGAATTTTCTATTTCAGAAATCTATCTATGCAGATTCATATTAAGTATGTAGTTATAGCTGAATAACAGAACACTAATTAGTTATTGAAATTTTGAACTGTTGACATGTGATAATTATAGTTCAGTACATTATGTTTTCTTGATCTGAGGTTCCTAACCTAAGGAAGCGTGAAAAATACTAGGACATGAACCTATCTAAGTGTTTGTTTTAGCAATTTTATTTATTTTGCAAAAAAAAAATGTCCTTTAGTTATCTTGCATCATTCTTTTATTATATTTTACATTCTTCTGCTAGATTAAATTTCTTTATGCCAGAAAAATTGTTTGCGGTATTTTTTTTTTTTTTTTTTTTTTGTAAACAACAACGAAATTTCTTATTAAATACCTTTTGATTTTAAAGGATTGTTTTTTTAGTCCAAAGTGGCTTTTTTCCTGAAGGACTATTGTTTTCGTTTTGCAATTTTGCGTTGAATCACTATAAACGGCGAATAACTTTTCAAACTGTTGCAGCGAAATGTTAGAGTCCTGCATTATATTTGAAGAAATTAAATCAAGAGAATTCTTCATAAATGTATGTGTATTTCTCGCATTCTCATAAAACAACGGTACATAGAGCCTTCGAATTTTGAATGACATAATCCTTCTACGAATATGGGCATGTGGAAGACCAAATTTGAAATTTGGAATTTGTTTTATTATCGATTTCTTATTTTGTAAAACTTTAACGAATTTTTGATTTACAAACTCAACGATTTAAAAGCGAGTAATGACAACACTCTACGGGGGAGGGGGAGTATTTTTATTTCCAGCGCGCGGAACTATGCATCAGAAATTCTAAAGTTATGCTCATTTTAAAATTATTTTGCGACATTGCTGTTGAACTGAGTTTTATGGTTTAAGTGCAAAGAACATGATATTTAATAAATAAATAAAGGTAACACACAAAACGTTAAAAAAATGCCCCTTTGGACGTAATTTAAAATCTAAAAAAACTTTCAGATTTTTTTTTTCTTTTTTCAAAAGGTTGTGCTAGAACTGCACTCTGCCTGCTCATTAGTTACATAAAATCTTAGATTCGAAATAACGTTATGATGGAGAAAGCTTAACCATAAAAAGTAATATAAAAAAAATTAAAGTCAATTCCTACTTAAGTCAACAAAGAAAAATTTTATTTTAGTTACTTTTTATTAACATTATTAACATTTTTTCGTTCCTAATTTATACAGCTGATGGTGGTCTACAATTTCTCATTCTATCCATCTCTTGTAATGCTTCATTATTGCAAGGAACCTTTCCAGTCATTTTCGAGCAGTCCAGTTCTTCAGTTAATATTCTATCTAATGATTTCACACGACTCAAGGCGACATAAGCTTCACCTGCTGCGAAGAGGTTTCTTTCTATATTTATTACTATTGAATTTTCGCTATATAATGGGACATTACATCCGCTTAGTCCAACTATAAAACTACAATTCTTTAATTCCATACACTTTAAAAATCTTTAGAACTCTGTCTTACTGTTGCCACTTATTTTTGTTAAATATTACAATCCCATTTATCACAGTCATATACTGTTATTTATAAGTTGTTATAAAATTAATTTTTACAGCAAGTGACAATTCCTAATAAACGGTCATTATATGTAAGTGTTATAATATATTTAAAAAAAGTACATTTTTATTTCCGATAAACAGGAATAAATAAGTACGAATTGACTTTAATATGTGAAAAAACTGTACTTATATCAAGTGTCATCCACCTCAAGTTTATAAAATATGTATTTGAACTTGAGTGGATGAATAAAAAGTATTTTATTAACGATTGACAACTTGAACAAGATCTAGAGAGAGTTTGAGCTATTAGTAGGAATTTAAAAACAGACGGCATTTTTAATGATTAAAACAAAACTTGAAAATTAATAGACTGTCTTGAAGTTCTTAATCCTCCAGCATTTCAAAACACACAAAGAAACAATATGAACACAGAAACACAACAGAAACACAACAAAGAAACACAACGTTATATAGCCAAAATCCGACGAGCGCTTAAGATATTTATATTTTCTTTTTCTAGACAAAGGCTTGAAGAATTGTTCTGTAATTGTAGCTTTGTAAATAAAGGGTAGTCAGGATTTTAGTCAAAGTACATGTAGGGGACAAATAAGAATATGATTACTAAAAAGTACTTCCGACAAACCTGCATCATCAGATGATGAAGTAAGCTGTAACTTTCAAAAAATATTTTATAGTTAAATGAAATTTTCATATTATGTTTTACTTTAATATGCATGTTAATTTATGAACCTTTGAAAATTCTAATTTTTTTCGGTGTTTTTTCTTGTAACATGATTATAATGTTCAACCAAATTTAAGAAAATTCACAGAAAATCTGATAACGTTTAAGAGAAACATTAAATTTAGATTTCAAGTGAAAATAATTAATCTTGAAATTTTGCAGAGTTACTCATTCCACGATGTAGACGCGCACTAAGAACGGGTTTTACGTAAATCTTGTCCAAAATGGATTTTTGTTATACGATAGAAATTTCTCATACATTTATTTGGTTTTCAAATCCAAGTTCAGAATTTTCTTTATTTGTTGCAAAAACTAGATATGAAATACAATGTTGCCAATGAATGCATTTTCCTTTAAAATTATTAAATTGGTAAATAACTTGCATTTATCCAATGAATACAAAAAAAATTTAAATGGTAACGCTAATAATAACATTTATATTTAACTTTAGTCATAAGTTTCAAGAAAGTAAATGTTATTATTAAAAGAAATAAATTATTGCGATGAAAAATAAAAATGTTGTTGTTATTTATAAAAATTGTCATACATAAAAAATCAAGGACAAATAATTATCATTGATTAAAAATTTTGATAACAAAGATAATAAGATTTATTTTCATGAAACTTAAGATAACAGTTAAATATATATATAAACCTTACTTTTATGTTGGCAAGTTTTCGTGGTACTGGGGATCCTACCACGTTAAATAATGGGGACGCATCCCAATACACAGTACCTCATGAATGATGTAAAAATATAGTTACTTCCTGTAATGTGATTGTAGTTACTTCCTGGAAACTAGCTGGATCCTTACTAATATGAAATGGCTCACTTGTGAATCCGGTAAGCAAAATCCTGCTGTAATTAAGGCTAAATTCAAGATGCTGCGCCAGGTGGAATAGAAGCAGCTGTTGATAAGATTTTGATGGATCGTATGAGTGATTAATGATATCGTAATAATGAAACCCAGTAAAGAATTATTTAAATTATAGACCTGTGACTAGGAGAAATATATGTGCAGTATAAAAAGAGAAAACGTTATTTCAAAAATAACTTTATTTATACCTTATAGTTACCATTTTATTTTTAGAAATCGCCATTGTTTTTTGTATAATCAGGTAATTTTTAACAAAAGACTTCAATTTTCAGCAAAAATAGCCTTGAACTGCGATTGCATTAATTCCGAATCCCACTTCCCTGTTACGCTTAAGTGTGCAGCGATTCTGCCCACTTCATCAGAGAACTTGGCTCCTTTGCCATTACCTACAACTGCTACAGTGACGGTGGGAGTCACTCGATCAATGTAAGGCAGACCCGATGGCGAATGACAGGTGACGCACGTCATGCTGCTGATACCTTCAACTTCCAGACCTAAAAAATGGAACCATTTTGATGATATGTATATAAAAGTAAACTTTATAGAAAACCAAATAAAATTATGTTATTATTTGCAATAGTAGGTTTATTGAAAAGAAATAAAATAATAGAAATCGCTATCGTGATAATCAAACTACTAATGAAGGTGATGTACTATTTTGGTAAGAAAGTGATTAATTGTTCAAGAACTACTTGAGGCTTTAAATTACTTCGTCAGTGTTGTATTTTTTCCGAACGGAACAACAACGAATTTTCTTTTTGAACTTCAAACTAAAGGCAGAACTGAATTTCGCTCTTTGTGTAAAACTTTCCGATTTTCGAAAGATAACAAGGATTTTAAACCATTCCGCACGGAAGTTTGGTGACTTATTGATAGATCTCTATGTATGGCATTTCTTCTCTAGTGTCTAGTGATTTGTGTTGATTTCAGAGAAATAGACAGCCAATTTTTGGAATGTGGAAATAAAATGAGTTTTATTCTATTGACATTTAGAATATACTTGTTTTCCAAGGTACTAGAGGAGATTGCATTCATTTATATTATCTGATTATAGATTTAATGTACACTCGTGTATAGTATTAAGAGAATTCGATAATTTTCTCTATTTTTCAAAAAGCATAACACCCAGGTACTAATTACATCGGCGCAAAATTGTGTAAATATTCCGAGTCGAATAAGTAAACGTACACATGGGGGTCTGCGGAGCTGTGATTGAGAAGGGGATACAAGCGCACGAGCGGTTTTCGGCGATTTGTGTACTCTTACTCTTATTTTATCAGGTATCAGGTAAAAGTAATAGCCAAGAATAATCTCCGGCACCATTAGTAGAGAAAATTTAGCTTAATTTAATTTAAAAGTTAAATTTATTAATTTTGATTTTTCTACATAACAGTACCTTCTCGAAGTGCTTTAGGGAAAGTGGATTATATTATCCATCTTGAGATAAAACGGACGATTCACCGATAATGGGATCAGTCCGGTTAATATCTACAATCAGAGCACTGCCTAGGTATATTTTCACTTGAGGCAAAAGGTAAATGTGCACCACAATATATAGTAAAATGAACTAGTACACCTCAATAATTAAGTTTTAATTGAATTAATTAAGTATTAATTCAATTAAGTTTTTTGTAATAAAATCATACCATATTTCTTAGCGTGTATTTTTAATAGGAACTTCATATACTCAGAAAAATAATACATATAATAAATAAAAAGGTTTTAATGAAAACGCTAAAGGTACCTTCTCGATAAAGGAGAAAAATCATTGAATGAACATAAATTATATTATAATTACTTTAAGAATTAATTAATTAATTTAAGATTTTTAACATTTTTTGTCATCTACGTTTTTAGCTTTTAAAGAAGTAAAATCGATAATTATTCTTTCAAAATCTATATGATATATAAGTCATTTTTTGTAGAAAAAATATCTGATGAGGTAACCACGTGACTTCCTGCCTACTAAATTCTACACATTTTTTTCTGCATTTGATTTAGGATTTCCAAGAATTTCATTAGAGATATATTTCTAATTCAATCAATTCAGTTCTCCCTTTCGCAGTAAGGCTAAAAATACACAAAAACTCAATCTTAATTAAAAATTGTAAAATACAGAAAAACCTAAAGTATGAAATACAGTTAAAAGCAGTTAAAAATAACATTTTTTTATAGTTAAAATTATAGTTTCTACGAAAAAACAAGCAATTCAACCGGTGGGCAGGAAGACAATATTTTCGGTGGGCAAAACTGAATGGTCATAAGGCAAAAAGATTCTAAATTTGGTTCACCGATAAGGTATTTTCTCTCTCCTTCTAGCATGCTTATGTGGTGTAACGGTAGCACACTTAAGTATCCGAGAGGTCCAGGTGTTCGAGTCCCGGCGGGGGCATTGCTCAGTTTTCACCTTTCCTGCTTTAACCTAATGATTCTACATACCACCTGACTTAATTCACTATTCTACCAAGAGTTTCAAATGTAAAAAAATGGCGGTCACATTAAGCTCACGACTTAAGCAACTGTTAAATTGCTATAATTCTACAACTAATGCATGCAGATTAACAACATAATTCATAAAAACCTTAATCGGATCATAAGAACAACGTAATTTAATTACCTTAAAATAAAAAGTGTGCAATTAACCAACATATAAGAAGAAATATATATATATATATATGTATAATTTGAATTTAACAATAACATTATCTCATTTATATAAAACGAATTTCAGTTTTAAACTATGAAAATTCAATTGTAAACAAATAAAAGATTAATTTTCTTCAATTACTCCATTCGTGTTTCGTCAACCATATAGGCATAGGTAATGAATAGTACAAAACCAAAAGTTACACCAAAAATAGTGAACTGCCTAAATGAGAAATTTAACCTCAAAAGAATTTCGAGAAATTAAGTTTAGTGCGACCGATTGCAACGAAAAAGATGATATGCACAATTAGATGTTATAGCAGCCCAATATACAAAATTTCAACGTTCTACGGCTATTCATTTTTGATTTATGCGAGATAGGTACGTACTTTCGTACAGACGTTACGAAAAAAAATCTCTTCTGAATGTATTTTACAATCCTTTTAGGAAAAAAAAAAGAGTCCTTTATTCTGTTCATACGTACAGATGTCAGAAAAAAGCATCGTTCAAATGGATTTGAGAGCAGTCAAAATTGATATTTTTGTTGAAATATGATACCCGAAATTTTTCGCGATTACAATACTTCCATTGCAAGGAAGTAATAACCATACATGGAATTAGTGTTTTAGACCAAGGGAATATTTTTCATAACTTTTAATTACTTTAAGTTTGCTAAATTTTTACTAAGGGAATAAATGGCGACGTTGAGAATATCCTTTTCAAATTCAAATGCTATGTACCAAACTATGTTCCTGGATTATATGAGATCTAACTTTGATTTAGTGATATTTGATGTAGGGATCTTTCTGATATAATTTCTGGAGCACTCATATTATTTCGAATATGTAAGTATTAAGTCATTAATGCTAAAGATCTTTTAAAATAACTAAATTACAATGACATTAAATTTTTACAGTTTATGAATATCAGAAGCTATCTTGCACAGCTTTTCATATCTCCATTTTTACAGCTAGTTAACATAGCTATCAGTTCGCATGGAATTTACGTGATTTTCTTTCTCTCTCTGTCTTTTTAATGAACTGAATCTTAGCAGTTTGCCTTTACTTGTCTTTATTTTTTATTTATTTTTAAACGTATTCGTCTTTAAAGCTAAAGTTTCGTATTTATCAAGAACATTAACTCTCACTTATTGTAAAGTAAAAATAATCCTTCTGTTAGGTTAGTTTGTTTAATTCAATATAGCTAGCCATACCAATACTACCTGTCTAAGGAAAAGAATGCATTCGTGCAGGACTTTCTAAAAGAAACTGGTTTATATTTATAGGGGTTGGTCAAAAATAGGGAAACACAGAAGTAAAAACATATCACTGTGGCTAATGCGGTGTAGGAAACCTGCTGGCGTTCAAAACTGCTTACAGTTCTCTCGGAATGAATAAATAAAGTTCTTGTATGCTTTGCAAGGGAATCTTATGCCATTCTTGTTGTAAAGCGTTAGCAAGTTCAGTTAACGATAATGGGGGTGTATAGCACGTACGCAGATATCTCGCAGATGAGCAAACACATCAGTGCCACCAACATCTTTTGCAACGATAAACATTTCAGTTCGAACACGCCTTTTATGAGATGTTTCCATATTTTCGTCCAGCCCCTGAAGAAAGCTACGAAAACACGCACGCAGTCAACCCACTCATCGGGTAGTATTGAATTCCAAGCATAAAATTTTAAATAGTTTGCGTTAAGAGGCTATTAGTCTCATTTCACTGCACTGATGCCTTAAACAATACCATTCAAAGTTATCTAGCATATGAAAGTAAACAGAACGGACCGAAATAAGTAAATCTTGCAATGGAATAGGCGTGCGGAAACGCCATGGTTGATTCGGAATACAATGAGAAAAAGGCATGGTTGGCTGGTAGGTAAAATTTTTCAGCTGGCGTAAATTTTACTAGCACAATATTTCATTCCTCTTGTGGTTTTGAGCGGTGCGCGTCGCTACACAACGCGGAACTTGCTAATATGCATTTTACCCATAAAGCTAGAAACAGAAGCGCAGGAGATGCTCAGAGGAAGTATTGGGGAACCTTCCTCTGTACCTGCTTTCGCGGTCTCTAACGGGTTGCTTGCTGGGCTACCTCGAATTGCATAGCGTACTCTTAAGTGCACTTTAGATCCTTCGCATCCGCCATTCGCAATGCTTTCTGTATCCCAGGATTCCGGATGTCATCGTCGAACAACTGTAAGGCAGGATTTTTCTTGTTTTGGTTGGGCAATACGAAAAGGCGATATGAAACAGCTTTTTAACATCCGTGGCGAGCCCCTGGAGTGTTTTCTTTGATCTTTGCAGGCGAGATTTTAACTGAAGCCTGGTGTAATCTTTTAAATACTTCTCGCCAGAGTTCCAACACCCCGGATACAGTTTCGAAGTCTAACCTCTAGTTCTCGGGAAGAGTTTGAAGAATGTCTGCTACGTATGCTATAAAAAGCGGCGAAATGGCAGGTTTTAGCTTCGAAATCCCATTCATTTGCGTCTGCTACTATAGAATATGAGTCTTATACACTTGCCAGGAGGTCTTTCCATCTTATGCGGATAGTTTTAGAGAGGGCCGAGAAGACACAGATAAGAATTTAAAGCCTTTAGAATTGTTTGCAGCTGTAACTGTGAATTTCTTCAAGCTGTCAACTTCCTTGGCTACAGCGGAAACTCTGTCATTAAATTGTTGTGCGACAGCAGAAAGATTTCTTTCTTCGATTTGTTGTTTGACAGCAGAAACTATTTCTTCATCTTTATTTTTACCGTGTAACTTATTTCAATCTTTTCTTGGCTCGCTTTCATCTCCTCTTTAACGGACTTGACGGCCCCTACATCTGACTTGTCGCTCTTCCATAATTCTTGGATATCTTTCATATTTTCTTTAACAGACTTGATGGGGCCCTCTATGTTTTCTTGGAATGTAGCAAGCTGTCACTAGTTGCCTTAGATGTTCCTTCCTGCTCTTATCACCGGCGTTCCCACTTCTGACACCAAAAATTGTTATGTGCATACGGTTTCGTAATGGATTGAGTGCATATAGAACCGATGATAGCTTGATGAAATATATTTTTGAAAAATAAATAAATAAATAAATAAAACCACTTTAAAGTTCTGGAACTTTTCACACAAAAGTATATGTGCAGTCTTCTCAGTATGGAAGGGCACAATCAATATGTACCACATCAAACTACTAAGGATGCTGAACACAAAGCAATGAAAAGCGCATCTAATAGCTAAGGTCGCTCTGAGATCTGTCAATAGTCTGAACGCAACTGAAAACCGATGCTCTCTCCGGTCCTATACAGTTTTCCGCGTCCACCTAAAAATCCGTCTCCAAATTTCTGGAGGGCATACACAGTTACAATTATATACTCCCAGATAAACAAGGATCAAAACATAAACACAAGGATCGGAACAGTTAGAGTTACGCAAAGAACGGACCAAAGAATGACAGCAAAACTTAGCCACTTTTGGTGATTTTTCACAAATTTGGAGAGAAAATTTGCTGCAGAAATTTTCGTCAACTTGGCGCTATATCGGCAAACTGGTTTTAGAATTTTCATGTCACCTTATACAAGACATACTACAATTTAAATATAATTTCACTAAAATTATTTATAGATATTCAAAATTCGTAACAATAAAATAAAGATTATCCAAACGCTAATAGCCTAAAATTATTATAAATAAATATAACTCTTCTTGATTGATTAATATAAATACAAAATTAAATGAATTTTAGTGAATTGCATTTTAATAATATAAGTTCGACTCGTATAATTGTAATAAAATATGCTAAAAAATTCCTTTCGAAGGGAAGAAGAATAAGGTCGTTCACAGAACATTTTAATTTGTAAAAGTAGTCTCCATTTGGAAAAAGTTTGAGGAATGCTGACTTAAGGCATTAAAGTATGCGAAGCATACGTGAAAGTCCCACTGCAATCTTTGACCCAAGCCCTCTAATCAGATAAGAAATAACGGCTAGCAAAAGACTTAAGTCTATTTACCCAAATCTAAAAGCAGGCCGTAAATAGTACAAGGATGGTCAGCTCTCTCTGCCAAAATTCTTCTTTACGAACTGTGTTGCGACTAATTCACCCAATCGACAGTAACATCAGATCAGATCTCTGATATCATAGCAAGTCTGCGAAATTCATTGGGGCAAGGAGTCAAGGTTGCGCCTGTCGTTGACAAAAGCCTTGAGCAATATATCACCAGCCTCTTCTGCTGGCCGCATATTTAGAATATCCCCATGCTCCACAGATACTGTACATTTACAAACATCCATGTCCTCTCCGGGGTTTGAGCTTGGGCACTTCGGTACAGCAGTCAGCGTCTCTAACCACTATCCCGGTTGAGGGCTCAAGATTCTGTTCTTATACTCTTTTAGATAAATTTAGCCGACAAGTGTAAAAGTGACAGAAAGGATAAAAATGATAAGATAATGGGTGAATGAGCCCTACACAGCTTCTGTGGTTTATGGGTTGACCAAATGACCATCAGTCGATAGATTAGACGTGACCACCAGCATTTATTGGGCACTGGCTTCCCTGCAGTTAGTTTTAATTTAAAAATCTGTCTAAATTTAATGCACCGCAGCTTGCTGATGATCCATGGGCTAAATGTCAAACACTTACAACAGACATCCTATCAGTCATCAACAGTCACCTTAGGCACTCATGTGTTTCCGGTTAATTTTAATTAAAAAATCTCTCTGGATCTAGTGCTTCACTTCCTACTACTGGCCTATATTGACTGCAAATTAACATCAATCTTTAGGTTACTGGTGACAATCTTAGATTACTGGTTGCAAATGGTTTAATGACGTGTCTAATATATACCTACGTACTGCCAGTGACGCATGGCTTTATAACCAGAGATTTCAACCAAAGATCATTAGAAACCAACATCCCTGACGAGTCTCCCTCAGTTTAATTTTCTCCATAATATACCTAACAGTTATCATTTTAAAAGCATTTAATTTATATTAGGTCTCACTGTTAATTCTTGTGAATATTTGTCGCATTATTTTAATTAATAAATTATATTTATTGCATGATACAGGCGATGCACTTAGCGCAGAATTACGCTATTTATCTCTTGCTGCACCCCAAAGGATAAGGCGTGGCACAAAATATCCTGAAACGTGACACAGCTCTCCTCTTTGCAGTTTTGAAAAGCTGTTTTGTTTTGTATATTTTAGGACAATCTCTGTTGTTTGAATTGAAAATGTTTCCTTTACAGGCGTAGAAATGCAAAGGCGGAAAATTTTACATTCGGTGTTATTAAAACATACTCCTTTCTTTAATTTTTTGAGAAGTTGTTTTCAGTTTTCAAGCATAACTTTCATAATTTTCTCAATCTCATTTAACGTAACAATGAGAGGTATCAAAACAGGCATCATATGGAAAGGAAGCGTTAAGCTCAGTTTTGCACTTTCACAGCATGAATTTCTCATAAGCTTTCCGTCCAATCATTCATTTACTGAAAGAAAGAAAAATTTGAAGTTGCTAAAAATGAAATTTACATAAAAATTTATAAAATATAAAATTAGTTTCCTTAGTGTCACAGACGTCTTACTGAAATACAGAAAATCAAGAAGATTCGGAGACTTCTTTTATTAAATTCTGAGTTGTTAAAAGTTGTAGATATGCTGTTTAATTTATTTTTTATGTTAAATGTTGTGAAACTCACCTGGAAGCATTTCGATAAGCAGCTTTGAGTAAACATCTATTACTCGTTCGTCCCCCTTTGAGAGATACCACTGTTTGATTTCAGGAAGAGATTTTACTTCGTCCCCACGGCCGAGATAGCCAATCTTCAGGTAGTAATTTCCTATAAATAAATTAGAAGACAAAAAGGAAAAAAGACACTTGATGTATAAAACATTTTTATTACTTTTAGATTATTTGCAGCTAAGTAATTATTATTAAAATGTTATTTTATTTCATGTCAAGAGTTTAGCGTTCATCGATTGTAGCCTCCTTGCCTCTTTTTTTGATTCCCAACTAAATTCATAAAAGTGTACATTAATTTATGATGAAAGAAGAGCACCATGATTAGATGCACAAATGTTCCGTAACTGCAACATAAAACTTTTATAGCAGTCTTTAAGGGGTAGGAAACAATGTTTGAAAAGTTGCACACATAAGACCTACAGTTTTTGAGGAAAAATAAATGAAAGACTGTCTTTCCTTTAAAGGCAAAAGAGGATAAATAAAAATTCGGTTAAATATTGTAAACTGAAAATGATTAAAATATTTTTTGCTTCATCTGAAAGCTTTCAGTTTTTTATATTACTCCCGAACGGCAGTTTTTTTCATTCACACACATACACGTTTCGAGAGCATTTGCGCTTAATGTATCTTTGGCCTAAAAATCTTTAAAAACAGCGTATCTTTAGAATTTCCGATTGAGAGTCTCCCGCGCTGAGGAAATATTTTCCCTATCCCGTGCAGTGTTGCCTTTGCTCGCTTTGAGATCGTTGAGTTTGTTAATCAAAAATTTTGTTAAAATTTTACAAAATATAAAATAGACAATAAAAAAAATTTCAAATTCGGTCTTCCAGATACTCATATTCAGATGGAGGAGTACATATTCAAAATTTGATGGCTTTAGGTACTGTTGTTTTTCACAATGCGAGAAGCATACACACATTTATGCAGATTCTTCATTACAGGAAGATAATATTTAGTGTCAACAATTCGAAAAGTGATGGAACGTTTTTAGTGATTCCACGCATAGTGTCATTTCGAGACTAACAGCCCTTCTGGGCTAATAATACGTATGTATTATTTTATTTTAAAATAAAGAAGACAGCAATAGAGTCATTTTGGAGCATTTCCAGTATCATAGTTTCGAAAATATTGAAATCGGTCTTTTGGATATTATTCATAACACAAAACTAAGACTCTTTAGAGAGTCGATCTACATACTGCAAAACAGATCATTTTACCCTTACTCACTCAAACAACTCAAACAAATTTGAACAGGACCACCACTATTAAGAAAAACGTTTGGTCTACAGTCACTTTAGAAAATTTAGTGTAAAACGTTACGAGGAAAAAGAGGAGGTAAAAAAAGAGGAAAATACTATTTCTCAGCGACTAAAGTCGATCTTATTGCAAAAAATTTCGAAAAATTCCTTCATGAAAAGTCTTTCACCAAAAATATTATTAAATAATACCTACAGTGTTTGAGGAAACGTAAATGAAAAACTGTCTTTCCTTTAAAGACAAAAGATGACAAATAAAAATTTATAATGCGCACGTTTTCAAAAATGATGCATTATGAGACATTCTCACCTTTTTCAAAGAAACATACACAGGACACCAAGTTATTCAGGATTTGATCGTAGATTTTTGCTATTATACGTTGAACACTAGCAAATTTCTCCAAAAAGAAGATTTTTTGCAGTGTTTAGTTCAAGCACCCATTCTATGATAAAATTAAAGAAACATTTTCAACAAACATCAAAATCTGCTGTCTGTTAAAGCATTGCCTAGCTTTACATTCGATAAGACGCTTGGTTCTGTGATCACCAACCACCATGAAATCGACACTCCTAGTTCCTGAGAATTCCAGCGATCAGAATACAATAATTTTATGAATCCTTTTCCCCAGCACATCATTTCAGGAAATCTGGATATTGTTAAGGACTATAATTAAAGGCAATTAATGAAGCAAGGCACCAAGTTTCGTCCCACCTTCCATGTGAGAAAAACCGTTTACATTCAACAATTCGATTCTACAATTCGACAATGATTTTGAACACTTTCATCGTCAAATCTAGTTTTCAGACTATTTTTCTTACTTCTTTCCTTCAATGGAAAGACGCTTTATTTCAAGACTTTATTTAGAGAATTTGCATATCTCCTAAATTTTCGTACATCCACAAGAAGGAAAAACTAGAACTTAAAATCAAGAAATTACGGGACAAATTCATTATTACAAAAATTGACAATGCTAAAAACTTCCATATTTTATGAAAGACGTTTTACTATAATTTAATTAAACAAAAACTCCTTAATACCACCACATATCTGCAAGTTATTACTAACGCTAAAGTTCTCTATAAAAGGTTCAAGGCTTTGCATCGAAAATTTGAAGTTTCTAGAAAAATTTACTATGATAAATTTGCAAATTTTTATGAACTTTCATAATTTCCTAAATCACCGGTCAAATTTACATTCATTGCCAATGGTACAAAGAAGTTTTTAAAAGTAATTGACCTACTTTTTGCCAAAAAACTGAAACAAGTTCCTCATATTATTAATAATATTAATTTTCAAGACCATGCTTTCAATTGGATTATTAATAACGAGCCGATTATTCAAGCAGTACATACTCTTGAAATTAAGAATACTAATTGCCACAATTTCGAATATCTTTATACCACTTTGTCTCTTGAAGATATTTTCTATAGCCTACATTCTCTTCCTGATATGTTTTCTCAAATTCTTACAATAGTCTCCAAAGAAGAATGGAAATGCTACTTAAAAACAGTTTTTTTTTAACTACTACATCAAATTTGATAATACATTTTTCAAGCAAGTACGAGTCTTGCCAGGGGATCCTGTTCGTCCTGTGTACTTTGTAACTTATTTCTCTTCTCACTAGAATATAAATTTCAATTATCACTTACTAAAAGTCGGTTTTTCTCCTGCATTTTCAGATATGTAGACGACATTTAGCCATTAAGAACTTTAACAAAATAGAAGATGCAAATATTTATCCCGCAAGCCTAAAACTGAAAACAACTAACACACAGCAAAAGGTAATTGATTATCTTGATTTACAAATTTTAGAATACAAAGGTACTAAAATATTCGATAAAAGAAGAGATTTCAATTTTCGCACCATTAAACTTATCAACTGGAATTCCAACATCTCCAAGAAAGTCATATTTAATACAATTAATACCCAAATTCTAAGGATTAAAAAGTTTGCAATAATAGAGATTCTCTGCAAGAAAAAATAAAAAAACTAATTAACATACACTGGTGTGCAAAAATTAAGGACGAGACGGTTTTTTCAATATAACTTTGTACAAAAGCTTTCCAATTCAACACATTTAATACCGTAAGATCCCAATACGTAAGGACATGAGTAATGTAAGCAACACTTACTAAAAGAGAAATCAGAGGGTTAAAAAGAAGCTTTATTGAAAAAGTAGCATATAGCGCAATGCGACTGAAGGCCGAAACATCCCTGTGATGGGTGTCCAGCAAGAAACATCTGGTCTTTAATAGGGGATATGATCTCCCCTGACTGCTAGGCAGGTTTCACAGCGTCTGCCCATGCTGAGAATGAGGGTGTCAATGAGTTGTTGAGGCATTGCTGCCCATTCGTTTTGCAGCGCCAATCGAAGCTCCGGTATCGTTACTGGTGGTAAGGTACGAGCTGCCAAGCGTCTGCCTAGAAAATCCCATACATGCTCGAAGGGATTGAGATCCGGAGATCGTGCCGGCCAATCCATACGTTCAATATCCTCACTCTCTAAGAGCTGTTCGGCAGCTACTGTGCGATGATATGGTGCATTGTCGTCCATAGAAAGGAACTGCGGACCCATAGCGCCTCTAAAAAGACGCACATATGGAAGAAGAATCTCGTTACAATAACGGGTCCCGTTGACTGAACCTGCATCGAAGATGTGAAGGTCTGTACGACTACCAAGCATGATGCCTCCCCAAACGAGAACCACCTCCATACCTGTCCCTTTCAATGATGTTCGAGGGATGATTGCGGCTTCCCTGCTCTCTCCAGATGAGTATGCGATGAGAATCGCGACTCAGACTGAATCTGCTCTCATCTGTAAAGAGTACTCGTCCCCATTCATTTTCTCTCCAATTCCGGTGTTCCCGACACCACAGAGAACACCTTCTCCGATGGGCAGGCGTTAGAGCTACACACCGTACAGGGCGTTGTGCAAACAGACCACCACCGTGCAGTCTTCTGGCCACGGTAAAACGCGATATCGGTCGTCCAGTCACCTGTGTCGTGTGTCTAGCGATTTCTCCCGCTGTCTGCCGCCTGTTTCTTCTGGCCTGTAAGGCAATATACCGGTCATCTGCGGGTGTGGTTCCTCGTGGACGACCACTACTAAACCCCCGGATAGCTGTTCCTGTAGTTTGAAATTGTCTCCAAATTCGTGAAACGATGCTGTGAGCAATTCCGAACTCTGCAACCACACTTGTCACATTGCGGCCTTCCTCCAGCTTCCCAATGATTCGACCTCGGGTAAAACCATCCAGATGTCGTCTCACAGATTGATTATTCGCCATTTCTCGCTGAGGCAGCAACTCGGTGTGATTTTAACTGCTATACGGCGTGCAATCTCTTTGCCAGAAATACTGATCTTACACCGACAACATGCTTTATACTACTCAGACACTCCCCCATTACGTCTACCTGCATATCTGCGCATGTGCTACTGTACATCACCTTACTTAATCTCCTGATTGGTCTTTCTGTCCGCTCTGCCTTTTCGTTCAGCTGATATGCTAATTTTTCGACTTCGTCCTTAATTTTTGCACACCAGTGTAGTCTTAGAAAATCGAATTAAAAAACTCACAGTTTCAAACACTTTAAAAAAAGCTGGCATTAACTTTATCTCTTAGATCGTATAGGTTGATATGATATATTTTATCAAACCTCAAAAGAAGGTAATTTTATAAATGACTACTACAAGTAATCCAATGTGAATATGTAATTATAAATCTTTTATCTCTCGGTTTTCTTGGATGACTCTCTTAACAGCATAGTAGCAGAAAACTTGATGGTCGTTCGGTTGCCTTCTTTTCACAAGTTCAAATTCAGCCCCAGCCCCTCATTTCCAACAATTGGAACCATTTTGAGCAAAAGGTAATTGCTCATTATGTTCAACAATTGGAATTACCATTTCTTCAACAATTAGAACACTACCAGAAAGCGCGAGAACTCCTGTTGTTCCTTTCTCCTTGAACTTTGATCTTCAAGCTTTTTTCTTTTGTTTTCCCATTTTTGTAAACCCCATTGTAAAGTTTGGTTTAATTTGCAAAACCCTATTCGGCAGACACTTTTACTTCCATTAGTATGCAAGTGGTCAGATGCCGATAGGTATGTTTATACTTTCTTCATTTTTGTCTTTTTCCTGTTTGATTTTTAAATTAATTTGGCCTTTTATTTAAACTTAGGCTGTTCTAGGAAGTTTTAATTTGAGTATTTGTTCTCAGCAGCTTTCCATGTGAAACCTCGTTTGTTCTCGGCAGTTTTTATTTTGAGTATTTTTAAAGTTATTTAATTAAAACTACGTTAGTTCTCTGCAGCTTTTTATTATGAGTATTTTGGGTAATTATTTTGATTCGAAAAAAGCTAATTTAATATGCTTTCGAGCCGCCCTAGGCTTTAAATACTGACCAAATAAAAAAAAATTTTCATTTTGAAACATGTTTCTTGTATTGCTTAGGGTCTCCCCTTGATGCACATGATTGTAATTAGTGCGTTTGGCCTTTTTTAGGTTTCTCAAGCGTTTTGGTTTTTCAGGTTTCTTGCCATAAAAAGTTTTTTTGCTTTGCTTATTTTAAATTTGTGTTTCTACTTTTGTATATTATTATTGTAGTCTCTCCTTCCATAATCAGGGCGTGATTACTTTGCAAACTTTGTCACATGACTACCTAACAATCTCGGTGTCCAATTACACAAATCCTTCATATGTTAACTGTTCGGTCTTTTCCTAATTGAGTAAATATTGGTATACGAGGTGATGTGTTCAGATCTGTTCCCGCCGTGAGAGCTCCAGATAATTATTTCTGGTGTGTTTCCTTTAAATTAAATAATTCAATCCAACTTATTCCATTGCTACACAATATCGACGAAATAACCGAATAACTGGCACTTATTTCGCACTTTAGGATATAATCTTTGAAATTTATGCCTCAGTATCATACCGAAGAGTAGCTTAGATTTGAATTTAGAGGTTACAATATCTATATTAACGTTAACGAGGTTACAATATCTATATTTTATAGTTTTATAGTTTTTTTTTTATCTAAATAATTGGTGCCACTTATTGGAGACCGTAATGCTTCTTTTCCCATTTTCTCTATTTTATGTACATTGGTATTAGGTTCTCAATTCTTAAATGATTACTTTTAAGTTTGTTTAGTTAAATGATTGTATTAACTGGTTTGTTATGTAATGTAAGTTGTAATATTAAAGCCCCTCTCTTTTCACTCCCAACAGAACATCCGTTAGATCATCGATTTCACCCGAATTATGCATAATTATAGATTTATTTAAATAAACGTGTATGTAAAGAGAGCATAGCAGAGGCCGAGCGGTTAAAGTCGCTGAATTCTGGTAGTTCCGACCTCGGTTCGATTCCAGGGGAAAGGGGCAGGTTGAATAGGCTTCGTTTCCTCCCATGTATACCACGTATACGAGTCAGTTTTCCTTAGAAAGTCCTCCATGAAGGCATCCCATCCCCTTAAGCAGATAGACCTAATGGGCTTTGTCATAATCAATTAAACCAAAGTATGTAAACGGAAAGAGTGCATCTCTCAAAAACAAGCGAGAAATTTCTAGTATTAGGTTTTAAGTAACATACATATAGTAATTTAAATTCTCTTCACGGTAGTGAGGTCCTCCAGGCTTATGGTATCATATGCAGTGCAAACTCGAAGTTCTGTGCTCCAATGCAGTTCCCACCAAGTTATCCACTCCCTTAAAATGTTTTATTATTTTAAATTTAATTTTGTTAGGAAGAAAATTTCACCATGAAAATTATTTTTAAGGAACTAATGCAAAAAATAAATTACTGGGATATTTCCGTACAGAAATTATTTACAACTAACTCACCGAAAAATATAAAAATGGTGCAGTACTGGTGTTGGATAAATTGAATAAATGACAATTTAAGAAGTTTAAAGTTTTAGTCATATTGTACTGCTTTTGAACCTAAAAAATGTGACTGAAAAATAAGAGTTGTCTAATTATTGAAAAGACATTTGAGAGGAATATCATGAAAGTACAATAAAAATTCAAGGGAAATGCACGTTTTCATTTTTTTTCAATTAAAATGCATAATTTCATTGAAATTTTTAAGAACGGGTATTCCCAAGAAAAACCGTGATAAAGCATCAGTTCTTCTATGCATCTTAAGCCAATACGTTATGTATTCAATATCATGTGAAAAAAGTGAAACAAAAGGAAGGGATTTTTTTATCTTAAGGAATATTTGTAGTATTCTTTCTTTCTAAAGTTAATATTTAGAGATGTTAGTTAATGTGTTTTTTTTTCTAAAGTTAATGTTAATTATCTTTCAAAACATAGTAACATTAAAACAATACAGCTAACAGCTCTGTCAGTGTGATACAGCTAGTGTTATCACTACTGCTAAAATAAATATGAATGGCATAAATTTTGTTTAGAATTTTATTGTTTAAACTTTTTTTCGTTCATTTTTGAGAGAAGATTGCTTTCCTCCACACATTTGTTTACCTCAAGATCCTCTACAATTGTACAGAATTTGAGCGAAATCGACAAGAAAATGACTATGTACTCTCCTTTCATGTCATTAATCTATTATGTTTCTATAAATTATAACTGTAACAGAAAATTATTAAAAGCAATAATAATACATGTATATGTACGCTAAAAATGCAGTGTATTGTGATATAATATGTATAGAAGCAAAACAGAAATGAAGCACAATTTATTAAACAAATATGATATGGAAGATTTAAAATATTTAACATATTTAAATTGCAAACTTTTACTGTGCTATTTTTTCGTATGAAAGATCATAATTTTATTTCTTTGACAGTTGCTTTATGACAGTATATATAGTACAGTAAAAGCTCGACTATCCGGCTATCAACTTGTGAAGATTTACCTATGTATTTTTAACTAATCGTTAATTTTAAGTACTTTTCTGTCACATTCTATTCACCGACATTTTTCATGCCAGAATGTCAATGAGACAACAATCATTTATTCATACTGAGAAAGCTATGCTATTTAAGAGAAAGTTTTCGCCAGTTGTTTTTATAGCATGTTCTGCCTACTTGAGGCCAAGTTGTATCGTGACTTATTGGGATTTTGTGCAGTTGAGTGCTTCTAGCCATTACACTCGTTTCGCCGGTTTTCTAAAAACCAGAGCTTTTTCTGTGCGTTACTTTGCCCTATGAGCTGTTAGGCTAATCTTACTACATTTGATTTTAGTTCAGCATTACTGATTTAAGTTAAGCCAAAAGTGTTGGCTTGTGTAAACCCAAGTTGGGTTACTGTTACTTCTTTGTATCCGAATAAAAGGGTTTTATATACCCTTCTTCTGACTTTTGTTTTTCTAAGATTATTCTATAATCATTTTTAATCATTTTAGGGTCGGTAGTGTATTCTTCCTAAGAATACCAGACTTTATAAACTAACCGGAATGTTAAAAAAACGAAATATTTTCAAATTTTAGAAACATTTTTAATGTAAAAATAAGTAAACAAAAATTTAACACCATTATAAAACACGAATACAAAACAAAAACTGCCGCGAAAATGTAATTCAGCGCCAGTGATGGATAAACGTGACCCCAGTGTTGGATAAACTCGATTAACTCAATTTAAGGAGGATTATAAGTTAACTTCTGTTTATCTGTTTTTTAATCGCATTTTGAAAAAATGATTAAAATGGAGCTTGTCTTCAAAGGAACAGCACCTAACGAAGTATTTCAATTTTATTGCGATCCTGGCATCAAGAAAAGTTCGAAAATGGTAAACACTGGCCGTGCAATGTGAGAAACTATGACAAATGATTTAAGTTCTTAAGATGTCATGTCCGTAACTTGTATGTGTTGATTAACTTAATAAAGAGCGATCAGTTCCCTCAAACTTCTGCCGGGCTAGCTGGCGAGACCTCCACACATTTTCATGATTGACTGAGTTTCGTAACTGAATATATGATATTTGTTTTCGTAATCGAATATATGATATTTGTTTTCGTAATCGAATATATGATATTTGTTTTCGTAATCGAATATATGATATTTTATTTCGGCGTTTAGATCTGAAATGCCCTTTTTCTTTCGAAATCCCACATAATTTAAATGTAGGCATTTAATATTCACACTGATAACAAATAAAATAATTTTTTTATACTTTTAGACCAGAAGTTTTTTTCTTCCATTCATTTGGCTTTTCTACTACATTTTGCATTTTTATATGTTCAATTACGCGTAATTCTTGCTTATCCGGAATTCGACATTTCCCGAGCTTTTACTGTATATGTTTTGGTATACCTAATCTGTCATAGCTTTAATAATATACAAATTGGGAACTTCACATAATATTGAATATGTTTTCTCTGTTCTTATGCTGAAAAAAATGAAAAATATTTTAAGTTACATAAAAGCAAATTTCTGAGCGAGATAATATTTCTAAATTATTACCATCTGGATATTCGATGGCGGGCAAAATATACGCTCCCAAAGCTTCTCTATCCTTTTCCTTATCTCTGAAGTAGACTATACTAGGCATGGAGCTGAAAGATAACAACAATATATATATGTTCAAGGAGTAAATGCAGCTAGTTCGTAGCTGTTCTAATAACATACACTACTATGATTTGCAACAGCCAATTATTGCGTAACAACTGAGACTCTATTTGGAGTTCAATAGTAGAATTTGTAAATTAGCAACTTACAAAATGCATAATAACGTTAGTGATAGATTTGGTACGGTTCCGGATGACATATCTGAAAACAAATATCCCTTTTTAAAAGCTCCTACAGATAAATTCTGGAGACATGAAAGAAATTATCTGAAAAACCGTTCACTTCAGTTGACGATGATTGGGAATACTCGGTCTTTGCAAACGGTTTAGCAGGTATGTCCCACACTCATCATAGTCTAGATTTATTATAATTTAATATAATAATAAACAAAATAAATACGTAATTCATATTAAAATAGATAATTCAAAAATATAAATTTTGAATTTACTGCCATTTTTTATTCATAATTAGTAATTTTAGACATATTATTTTAAATGTGAGTTTGAAAAATTGTTGAGAACCTAATTTTATTGAAATAAGGGGGGCATTTTTCTTTTGCCCACTACAGTAGATGTCGTGAATACAAGCTAAGTTTACTCTGTCTACTGTAATGGACATTATAAACTAAATCTAACGCTCTTTTATGACATTATGACAGGTTTCAAACGGAGGGGAGGTTCTTGTCTGCAAAATTTATTTTAAATAATTAATTTGATTTATGTATGCTACTAATTAATTAGATAATAAAACAAAGTTATATCTAATTTTAGTTCACATTTTATTAGAAATCTGAAACAGAAAATGTGTTTGACTGAAGATGAAATTGAGAAGATCATGAAAGAGGATTTTCTTTTTAGCAGTGATGATGAAGATTTGGAAAGTGGTGATGAGGAAGAGGAATACATGCCGACATTCCTCCATGATGACTTTGGTGATGAGCCAGAAAATGAAGAAACAGAAATTTCACTTATAAAATCACCTGCACAAAATCAGAAATCTTGTAGCAGAAGAAAAGAAAAGTTCCTTGGTAATGAATAGATAAAAAGCTTCCTCAAAACTCTACCGAAAAGAGTGAATTGAACCCCAAGGTTTTGCTAGTCAAGACAAAACACAACTGCAAATGTTTAAAATTGTATTTGGCAAGGAATTTTTAGAATATTTCACATTTGAATCCAATAGATACAGGTTACAAAACCGTAGCAAAATGAATTCAATCACAATTGACGAAATGGAGGTATTTTGGGAGATCTGTATGTATATGTCAATTGTAAATTTACCTTTTAGAAGTTGGTATTGGTCAATGCAAACAAGTCGGGAAACGATTTTAAATGCAACGGCCGTAAATTGTTGGGAAGAGATGTGTATGCATGTACGTATATTCATGCTGTCCACTGTAGTGGACAAACTGTAACAATTATTTAAAAAGAAATTTGAATAAAATTAATTTTTTATTATTATTACCAAGGTTATAAGTGGAAAAAATACAAACAGTTTCGTTTAACTTCTCTATATTATTTGTATACAACAAAGGATTAACACAGCTTTTGTTGCGCACACATTTTGGAGTTCATAAGAACCTAAGCTTCTTAAGAAATCTTGTCGTATGGCATTTAATTGGATATATTAATGGTACGTAGTATATTATAAAATTTTGGTACATTTTGGTACATCTTGAAGGCCAAAATTTGGAACTGGGAATTTATTTTATTATCTATTTCATATTTTGTAAAGCGTTTATGAGTGTTTGATAAAGAAACTGAATGATTTCAAAGCGAGCAATGGCAACATTGTACGGAAAAAAAAAAGAGGAAAAAAACATTTTCATCTCTATCGCGCGAAACTATGTATCGGAAATTCTAAAGATATGCGCTTTTTAAATTATATGATTTTGCTGTTGAATTGAATTTTATGGTTTAAATGCGAAGAACATGATATTTAATAAATAAAGGTAACATGCAAAAAATTTAAAAAAACCGGTCTTTTGTGAGTAATATAAAATCTAAAAGCTTTCAGTTTTTTTTTTTTTTTTTTTTTTTTTTTTTTTTTTTGTGTGTGTGTGTGTGTGTGTGTGTGTGTGTGTGTGTGTAATTTTATTACGCTTTAAAATTGGTTTCTAAGGGAGGACTTTCTGAGGGAAACTGGCTTGTATACACATCACATATGGGGAAAGCCACGAAACTCGGACCAAACTACCTGCGTTCAGCAACTCTACCGCTCGGCCACTGGTTGGCTTATTAGCAGCATTATACTGTATTATTATTTTATTATGCTACAAAGTAACAATGCTATAAGACTGAGACATACCTTTAGAATTTTCGATACAAAGTTTCGCGCGCTAGAGACGAAAATGTTTTTTTTTTTTCCTCTTTTTTGTTCATGGAATAGTACTGTGTAATCCATTAGTATTAAAAAATCATTGTTTCTTTGCAAACTTAAAAAAAAGATACTGTTCATAGCAGAGTTCTCATTTTTATATTGTAAAAGAGATATTGATTATTATTAGTTTTCTATTTAATGTGTCGAAACGCTGGTTTGACAAGGACTTCAACTGCAGAAAAATATTTAAAGAAACAGTGCGAATCTGGAAAAAAATCACCTTCAGTATATTTAAAAACACTGATAAATTTATAAAATAATCTGAATTAATATAAAAGATTTTCTTATATGAAATTATCTAAGTGCATTCAGTTATAATATTATTAACGCGAATATCGTTTTGTGTAAAGGTAAAGAAAATATTTTTTCGCGCTAAATTAAATTAATAGATTATTTATTTTGAGAAAAAAAAAAAAAAAAAAAAAAAAAGCACGAAAATCCGAGTTTAAATTATCGCGAAAAGTCAAAGAAACGTTTTGTCAAAGAACGATTCATCTTAAACCCTGTTCCTCAATTTCCTATATACGTCGTACATTGATTATTTTTACTTTGGTACTTGCATTGTGAAAATAATATTACTATCTTCTAATTATTTTCACAGAATAAAATCTTTTGAGAAGGAAGAATATTTTAAATAAGCAGTTTATATATATATAAGAAATTAAAATAACAGCAATGTAATATTAAAAAAAAAAGTATTAGTAATTGTGTGACAAAAATTACAATACGAATTAATCACACATACAGGATAGATTAGTATAATTTTGGTATATATTTTATATTGAAAAAATATTTTCTTTCATGTTAATTATAGAATAAATTATTTAAAATAAAACATTTTGATACGTGTGTGATAGCTGAATGCAGCAGCAATCGGCCGTACTGTAATAGCGAATGAATTTTAGTCCTTTTCCTGAAAGAAATAATTTTCATAGAAAAAGAAAAATAAAAAAAAAAAGGAAGAAATATTTTCTTTCTAATTTCTTACTTAAAGAAATATAATGCGTGAAAACAGCTTAATGTAGGCATATTAAAAAAAAAAAAAAAAGAAAAAAGAAAAAAAAAGAACTTAGTTTGCATTTAGATTGTAATGCAAGTTAATCATATTATAAATTTAAATGAATAGAATTGTTTATTTCTAAAAAGATTTGAAGTAAGCTTAATTCATTTACTCTTATCTTTTTACCGTTGCTTTCATGGTATCCCATATCACTCTACATTTCTTAGTCCTAAATTCCTGCATTAACTTTCCTCTTAAAAAACGGGATCCTTAAAAAACGGATAACATAGCAGCATATTCTGCTGCGTGTTGGTCATAATACTGTTTTGTGCCATTTTTTTCAAACTACAATGCAGCGTGTGAGTTAGTTAAATAATATGAGAATATTCCTAGAACTTCAGCCAGCGCGCGCTATAAATTTCGTCACTCGTCTGTACTGCGGTTGGTCTAAAGCTCCTTGAAGCCTTGTCCCCTTTCAGTAAAGTCAAATGGACCCACCCGCCCACCAACTGAGGACCACAGAATGGCTTTCTCCGATAAGTTGTGATGGGTTGTCTATACCGGTTTTTTTGAGTCAATATTGTTCACTCAAGTTGTAGACAGATCCAGTGATCATAGAATAGGCGTCCTGCTCTGAAGCACCGGCGATCCCTACGTGGTGACCAAAACATTGGGTCATTTACCATTGAGTTCTATGGGATTTGACGCGTTCGGGTGTAAATATTTTGTAATTACGTCGCAAATATACATATAAATGTATATATTTTCTTTTTCTACAACACTTCAGAGTCCTAAGTATGTGAAAACAACATATTTTTAAACAACATTTCATTCTGAACGGAATTAAATGCTATACTTTTCACAGGACAGTTTTCTCAGAATGGTTTAATTTGAATGAAATATTTTCACAAGTTTTCGTTAATTACATTAGAAAAAAAAATTAAGGTAATTCGATTTTATTCGGTTAAGGTACAAAAATTAAGATCAAAGTTTATTGTATTATTAATATTAAAATTATGCTTTATTTCTTTTCTATTTATAGAGCTTCTTCCTAAAATACTTTCTTAAATATGACATGATTTTTCGGCTTCTTTTAAATCGAAAAATGTAAGTCAATTTATAATTAATGCTCTATTCGGTTCATTTTAAAATAGAGAATTATTAGGAAAATAGTATTTGACTTTTTCTGAACATTTCTGAAAGGGAATGAAATAAGTTTTTTTTTTTTTTTTTTTGTTTTTAAGTATTATTTAAAAACTTTGTAACTGAGTTATTATAGAATGTAAAGGGAATAATTATTTTAATTTATACTTATCAGATTTTTTTTTTTTACCCTTCATTTCAACAATACATATTCCAAAACTCTTTATTACGTTCTTAAGTGCGCATCTCATAGCATTTGCTTTACAATACCTTTTTAACAGATTGCTTTCCAATACGAACAATTCTTGCTTAAATAGTTTTATAACGTATTTGTCAGCAGGATTTCAATTTATGTTTACAATTCAATATTAAGATTATTATATATTTAGATAACATTTATAATCATTATAAATTAGATACATTTAATCATTAGATTTCTTCACAGTACTATCACAGTTGTTTTAGAAGTGAATAAATTCTTCATTTTCAAATACATTTATAAATAATTTAATGAATATTTAAGTATTTTGTCAAAGGCAGGTACATGCTTTTTGCAAGCACATGCATAAATACCCATACATATTTCCTATTTATCATTTCCGGCATGTGCAAATCTTTAATTTCTGTGCATTCACTATATTTTTCGTGTAAAGTAATTTACAACTAATTTAGCATACACCCGAAAGTTTTACATAAAAAATATATATGAATATAATTTGAATGAAAATTATAATTATTATTTTTAATACCCCACTCAAAGGTCAGTTTTTTCTTCAAAATTCCTCCACGATGGCATCTCTCTCTTTAGGCAGATAGCCCTTGCATGCGTTACTCTATTTAATAAAAACTTAATCTGACCTATGTGCCTAATTACAAATATTTTAACATGCATAATTTTATATTTACATTTAGCCATCAAGTTTCAAACTTTTCAAATCTTCTAGAAAATAAATTTTGGCAGATCTCTTTTAGCAATTTTCTTAAAATCTTTATTTTTGTAGTGCAACAGCTTAGAATTTTATAAAACAAATTCATAATCAAAATCGCTGTTGTTAGTTATCGAAAAATAAAAAAGATGTGATTTTTGCGTAAATGTCAGTAAACTATACAAATTGCTATTATCCATCACACTATGAATGTTTCTTTCATGCGAGAGTGTCCCTTTTTCGATTTCCATGGAACTGTCGTGTGTCGAAATGCTATCAGAATTTTGTCAAGCGAGCTTCTGAATGTAAACAAAAAACACCCCGTCTGGTGACCCAAGCTTCAAAGCAGTGCTTCACTTCTAGCGCGGAATGGCCCCTCCTCCCTTTCCTACCTCCATGGTGCTCCTCGTCAAAATTGGGGTACTGTCACCTGTAAGGTGCTCAAGGCTATTGCCAACGACAGGCGTAATCTTGCGCTCCTTGACACGAGGAATTTCGTGGGCTTGGACTGACTACGTCAGACAAGTGAGCATAAGTAACAACAACAACAATATTAATCGAGTTGCTTTCATACGAAGAAAACATTTAAGCATACAATAGTAAAAAGATTTCCTAGCTGTTAATCTATTAATCATACAGCTAGCTAAAATATTCTACTTCAAATTCTTAAATTCTAATTATAAACTGTACATTACCTTATTCGTTTTACTTCTGGGGTAGAAATTTTAAGAAATGCTACTGTTTCTTTCTGTACTCTGATGTTCAGTTTCCCTAGTGCTGAAAATTTCTTGAAATTGGTGAATGCTCCAGTACAGAATAATACTCTTTTAGCTTGCACATGATTTCCGGTTTCAGTTAGAATCTGGTAAAAGAAGAGAATTATCATTCACGAATGTTTTATGACAATATGAAGAATGAAAAAATATGCATAAATTCTTTTCCAGAGAAAAATTCCGTGACGATGTCCAGAATTGTCGAAGAATTAAAAGAGGTTACATTACGGAACACAGTGAAAACCTTTATCATATGTAACACAGATTTATAGAAATGTAACACTGGTACAGATGTATAGTACGAAGGCATGGAAATAATAAAACTAGAAAGTAATAATTCAGAAACGCGTGAAATAATTTGTAAAGTCACCGAATCGATTTTAAAATGATTTACTTTAATGATGTAGATTTACTTTAATGATGTAGATTTGCTTTTCGATGTTAAAAATCTTACTAAATTGAAATTAATGCTATAAGAATTTATTTGCAGGTAGAAATAGATAAATTATATATAGAAATATCAATGTTATTATGAATTCTACTGCCTAAATTGCAGTTTAACTAACATTAAAATTTTAAATTTGAAATCCATATCTTTGCACACAGTACGCCGTAATTCAATTATGAAGGGAATTTTAATTATAACATTCTGCTCAAACTGATTACTAATATTCACATGCGTAAAACCAATAAATGCTACTCCTCCAGTAAATACACTTTTGATTGCAAAAAGTTGAGTGATGCTAAACTCTCACCCTCCCCAATGGCTTTGGAGGTAAGAATAAAAGGAGACGCCAACAGCCACACTACGATTGAAGCAGTGCCAATAACTTCTTCTTTAAGAAGATACTGGCACTGCTTTTGAGTTAGCAAGAGCACTGCTACTGAAGGTACTGACACTTCTTTAAGAAGGTATTGGCAGTGCTCCCAGGCATTGGTCTCCAGAAGGGGTGTATTTTGCTTACATCCAGAGCATTCTCCCAAGCGTTTTGATAGTATTTTCACACACGACAGTTCCACACAAATAGGAAAGCGGGGACACTTGGGCATAAAAGAAACATTTATCGCTGGATGAATAACAGTATTTTGTACAGTCTAGTGGCATTCACGCAAAAATCACATCTTGTTTATTTTTCGATAAATTACAACAGCGATTTTGTGTATGAATTTGTTTTATAAAATTCTAAGCTACATAAGTTTTATAAAATTCTAATATTGAAAATATAGATTTTAACAAAAATGTTATGCGTAAAGAAAGAAAAATACATTATGGTACCTTTAAAATGTCAAAATATCGCAAAAATATAACGCATTTTAACCCATAGCATGTCAAGCATGAAAAAAATTAATACTTTTTTTTATAAATTCTTAAGTATGTTTTTCTCTATGTAGAATCAAGAAGACTTACCAAATGTTTGCTAGTTTTATGAAGACAACCTGTCCTAAAAATAGGACAATGGTCTAATCCACTTTTAATCATTCTTATTTAGGTGGAATGGGAAAAACCATCTTAGGCATAGTCCAACGTTACATTTTGTGCTGATAGTTGTTTTGCTGTGCAGTTTTTTAGCTGGCATCTTCTTTATCTATTTTGTGGATTTTTAACAATAACATGTTCATTTTGAAACTTTAGAAAATTTTCATTAAGGGGTATCAGAAACCCCTATACCGACAATGTTAAATTGGGCATTTTCGATGTACCTTTTCTCAAAATCTGCTGTAGATACAAGCTGGAAATTTTTCTGTAATTAAAGTATACCTATCTGATTATACTGAAATGAGCTTTTGAAACATTTTGAATTTTAGAGTAAATTACAGAATATTTTGTTAGGCATAGTAAAATTTAGCCCTTTTCTCACACAAAAAAATTAAAAATTTTTTTCTAAGTTTATTACAAAAAGCTCATTTCAGTAAATATTAGGGAACCTAATAAATAAGCCATAAAAAGTTTAGATACCTGTGAGCAGTAGTTCCTGAGAAAAGGTACATCGAGTATAAAAAAATCACGTTTGGAGATAAACGCGTTTTTATGTATAAATCCTCATTGACCAAAGCAGTAGATGGCAAATTAAAACTAGATATTTTTACAGTTCTAACTTTCATAGAGATTAAAGAATGGTATTTTTAGAAAGATAAAAGTGTAGAGAATTTGGAAATGCAAAAATCCGAAATCACAATGTTTTGAAAATTTTGGGGTTCCAACACCCCTTAACCTGTTGAACACCTAGTTTTCTGCAAGATGGTTTTCTTGGAATAGAAAGTTCCAAATAGGCAACTGTTATGTGGCTTCGAAAATCAAGCAAAATCAGACTATCATCACTGAACAACTGACGGAGCTTCCAACAAATAAAAACCAGTAACCTTTCTTTCCTTAAGTAACATAAGCTGCTGCATGAGTACCAAATAGGTCAACTCCGTTTTAATATTTATTGTAGGATGCAATGCATATTGATTTATCTTTACCTGTTTTCTGCCACCTTTTACTCTTCTTTCTACAGTTGATACACTTTTTTTTTTCTTCGAAGCTGTCATTCCATCGAAGTGCTGCAACTTTGTTTTTTTTAATCAAAATTGCTATCTGAAGAGTCGCGTTCCATTTTCGACATTGTTTTAGAGGTATAAGTGGGCATTTATAAGAGGGTATATAAGGGTATAAAAGGGTATAAGTGGGCATTCCGTTTAGACGTTTTTATTTGTAAGAACGGGGATAATAATTCATGAGAAGTAAAGAAATTAATAAGACTTATGTATCTCAGGGTTTGTAATTATGGACAGCAAATTCCGGACAACTGTATGAGGTAATGGTTCAATCACGATTTCCTTAGGTGCTTTCTTCGGATTTTTATTCTTCAAAATTCACGCGTGCCAAAACGAGAGGAATTTAGTCTACTTCGATGAATTTCAGAATACAAACTGACTTTATGCGTCAATGTTTGAAGATTTTACTCCAAAACCTTCCCCCACATTTCACAGAAGTAAGAATGACCAATCATACACCTGTCTGTCACGTGACGTGCACCTGCCAACTAGACTTAAGTGCCTGGGTTAGTTGTAGAATAACAGTGTTTGGAATTTAACAGGGAAAGAAAAGATTTTCTCCATTACAAACGAATGGGAAATTGGTAGTAGTGGATTTTACCATCATCCTATTTTTAGGACTGTTAAAATGCAAGGAAAATTAATCTTTTAGGTAAATGTTTTTGATAATGTTTATTGGTATAAAGGTATAGGATATTTTCTTGCAAATTTATAAGTATGCTTTTTTTGGAGCTCAAAATTTTTAATAAACTTGTACGTTGAAAACATATGCAAAAAAATCTGCAAAATTGCCATTTAAAAAAAATGAATAACAAATATCTAAATTAATTCTAACTTGCGATAAAGACAAATATATAGTTCAATGGCTCTTAAATAATGAAGCGGCTTTAATTTGAATTAAATTATTTCAAATATTTAATACAACAATATGTATGCTGTCCTATTTTTAGGACGATGAAAAATAAGGCTTAAACCTCAATTTCCTTAGAACTAAGTGTTATAAGTGTGAAAAATTGTATACTTCCTTTGATACCTTTGGTAGAGTATTCGTTACTTTTATTTTATGTTTCAAATATCAAAATGTTTTAAATAAAATATATTTTTGTCATCCACATGATATTGTAAGACATATTATTTAAAAGTTTTTAGGGAGAGGCTTAATAGTTGCTCATTCTAAATTAATCATTTTATTTTTATATAATTGAAAAATAATCACTTTGGGTTTACATATCTTAACTAAAAAATGAAATTACTACGAAATGCTGCAAACCTCGTCAAAATTAATATAGAGAGACATGCTAACCAGTTGACTTTTTTTCCGTTTGTAACCACACCTTTGTGTAAAATTGTATGCAGAAATAGTTGTCAGGTCCGCTGAAGTACCATCGGCAGTGAGGATGATGGGACCATACGAACGTGCCACATCATCAAGACAGCATGAATGCATGTAATTTTCATTCAGTTTATACACATTTCTTATGTAAAAAATTCTGATTTATGCTAAATTATTGCAAATCACTTTACTCGAAATATATAGTGAGCGCACAGAAATTAAAGATTTTCATACGCCGAAAATGAAAAATATTAAAATATATATGTGTATTTAAGCATTTTGTTGAAAAAAATCATGCATTTGCCTTTAAGAAAATGCGTAAAATTTCTTACATTTGTAAGGTGTATTTGAATTTTTTAACAGTTACTTTAATTTAATTGTGCTTCCTTATCGTTCCTCATTTCACCTTACAACTCCCTACCAGAATGAGTTTTTAGAATCGTGTTGAACGCAAATAAGTAGAATTCTACTATTTCTACTAGAGATTTCTACTAGAGATTAGTTGAATCTTTTAAGGAAGGTTCAACTTACTTCGTGAGAGAGAGCTAGGAATCCTAAGTAGCGAGCGTTCCGCCTTCGGGCTAAGTCTCTAGAGCTTGTTACGCTCGGCCGTATTTTACGTGTCTTTTGATATTCGCTGGCTAGTTTAAATTAAGGGCCAACTACGTTAGATTTGTGTTAGCTTCGGCTAAGTCTCTTAGTTAGATCTTACATCTGATTCTGATTTCAAGCCCGAGTAGAGACTTTGTTGTAAGCCCTAATAAGGGGCTAACTGTTCATCCTATTTTGAGTGAAATAAAGGGTAGCTAATCCTTCTTGAGTTTACGATTCCTGTTATTTCAACTGAAGTGTTAAATCAGTTAACAATTCCCTAGGTTGCTCGGTATTTACATTAGTAGAATCAGAGTGAAAAACTCTACATTTGGGGCCAAACTTCAACGGACGATGTCGTTAGAAAGTGGAAAATTCATACTGACCCCTTTCAAATCCCTGAGGCACCAGTAAACCCGAAGGACCAAGAACCAAGGCGATTGCTTCCGGAGTACCTTTACTCACCTTTACTGAAAACAGCAATAACCTCCACAACTTCGTTAAGAAATAGTGAATAATTAAGAGTTAAGCGTGCTTAAAGTGGAGAACGAAAACCGTTAAGGGTTTAAAGGTACAAGAGATCGATAAGAAGTCCACACAAAGGGACAAAAGCTTCTTTCAATTGCTTTCTTGTCAGGGCAGGGGTCAATGCCCCCCGCTACGACAATTAAGCATTGAAAGAGGTGTTGAGTGAGGCGGTACCTGCACGCGCCAGCGTGAATGGTAGCAGAACAGGTTGAAAGAAGATTGAGATGGGAAATTCTCCAAGTCTCACGTAAGGTTGTCATGGCAACTCGAAGAGCCGCGAAGATGGAAATAGTGGAGGTAACTGCTGGTAGGAAGTCCTTTCTTACCTCCATGGTTGAAAGTGCAGAGAACGCTAAGTGAAGTTCTTTCGAGGCCTTCAGCTTAAGTGAAAGAACTTCTTTTGGTGCGGAATAAAAAGAAGTTTAAGGCGTAGAAGATAAATATTAAATTAAAGACGCGCTAAGCAAAGATTTAAACAGCTTTAAGAATTACTAAAAAGAGATTGAGCTAGTTAAATTAGATTAAGTTAAGGTGTATTTAAAATGCAGATTTAAGATTTAAATAACTGAATTGAAGAACTAGTTCACTTATTGAAGATCACTTGGATCTTCTTAAGGTGACTGTTGGCTGCTGTGGAAAATACCTTAAGGTGGCTGTTGGCTGCTGTGGGCTGCGTAGGTAAGAGTCGGGAGGATGGTACTTTTGTAGAGGAGGATCTTGTTCTTGAGGCAGAGGTTGCTGGTTCTATTGATGAGTGACATTAGTTGATTCCTCGCATTCCTTGCTTTGGATATTGCATAATTAATATGTGTATTCCAGAGCAACTAATCCGAAGGAGCAATTTGGTTTCATAGTAGAAAGCCTGCGGGCGGCTATGGAGCTAGCTACGACGTTCGTCGGCAAAGGTTCGGTTATTACCTTCTAAGAACAACTTGAACTGCATTTAACGCTATATCCCGTAAATCAATCGCAACTTAAATTTTAAGAACTTTACTTTACAGGTACGAATGGACTGAATGGTAGAAGAAGGGGGAGCCGCTTGAAAAGTACAGTTAAATCACCTCGAGGAAGAGGATATAAAGAAGATCGAAACATTGGTAAGAAATTTTAATAAATTGCTTGACTCAAAACCAGAATTCTGTCAGGTACTTTCGCCTGAGACAAACATTGGCGATCCCCCGCCCCAGTTTGATCTAAGCCATACAGGTATGACCAGGTTAAAGAAAATATTTTAGAGCAGCACATTAAAGAGATGCTACCCAAAAATATAATTATCCCGAATAGCAGCCTTACGCAAGCCAGGTAGTCTTATGCAGGAAGAAAAACGATCTCCCGCCTTCAGATCCGAATTCACGCAGGTTTGCAGTTTTTCAAATTGCAGTAAAACGCAATGATGTGGAGAAAACCGCCTTTATAATGAAGTCAGGCATGTATGCCTTTTTGAGAATGGTGTTTTGCTTAAGCGGAGCTCCGGCTGCATTTCAGAAGATAATGGATATCGTATTAAGATCCATCCTAATCAAAAGTACTTCATCTATTTAGATGACATAGTAATTACAAGTGAAACTATAGATGAGCACATAGAGCATTTAAAGAAGTTTTTCGTTATTAGATGAAGCCAGCCTCAAGGTGAATCCCAAGAAAAGTAAATTTTCGGCGAAGGAACTTAGATACCTCGGATATATTATAGTTTCAAGAAAAGGCATAGGAACTTATACAAATCGGATATAAAATTTCGAAAAAAGGCATAGAAACTGAAAATTCTAAAATCTTAGCAATCAAGAGTTGTCCGCCTCCTAGCACAGCGGAAAACTTTTTAATATAAGATTCCTTTTTGGGCGTCCTTTTTGGGCATGTGCTCATATTATCGATCCTTTATAAAGGATTTCGAGAAGATAGTTGAACCCTTGCTTGTTCTCAAATAGAAGAAAACTAGGTTCACGTGGATGGCAGAGGCGAACAATGAATTCGAAGGATTAAAACACGCATTAATCAACGCCCCAGTACACAAATTCACGGAAGAGGACCAAAATTTAGAAATCGCAGCACATGCCTATGATTTCGCAGTTGGCGCCATCCTTTCTCCAAACGGCCTTCCATTTGCCCATTTCACTAAAACTTTCAATCAGACTCAACGAAATCATACCGCGATGGGAAGAGAAACTCTCGCTGTCCTATTAGTAGTGCAGAAATTTCGAGTTTACCTTGGAAGAGCCTCGATGACAATCTATTCAGACCATGCAGCAGTTGGTCGCTTGTATTCTAGAAAGAATCTTTCACCCCGTCTTATACGCTGGACGTAAAAACTGCAGGAGTACAATTTGATAATTAAACACACGCCGGGAAAGTAAAATGTAGTCACAGTTGGCCTATCGAGAATTAAGATTGATGAAGACAAAAATACTGTCAGATGTACGATGTTAACCTCGAAAATAATCGAGTCCCATGAAACAATCATTGCAGAATTGAAAGCAATTGAAGGCGGACGCTAAATTTGAAAACATATATGCGTATCTCAAAACCCCGAACATTTCGAGAATGTGGACGTTACGGCAATCAGAAATAGGAAAGCTGCCCACTATGAAATCATTGATAAATTGCTATTTTACAAGAAAAATAACTTATTCGAATCCTAGAAAAGCTGCATGATTCACCTACATCGGTCGCCCTCGGTATTAGGAAAACATTTCAAAGAGCCAACGAAGCGATTTATTTTCAGCAGTTACAGAAAGATGTGACGGCCATATGTGTCATGTCATGCCATATGTGGCAATTAATTAACGATGTTAATTATAATCCGTCCGGGTACTTAAGTAATATAAAGACCACTTTTCCCAATGAGTTGGTGGGCATCGATTTCCTCGGACCTTACCCCAGAATAAGGTTAAATAAGAATAGTTATCTCTTAACTATCGCTGATAATTTTCCAAATGGGTCGAAATAATTACCCTTAAACGAGTATTTGCAAAAAAAGTGTCAGATTCGTTTTTAAATAAATATACCTTAAATACGGGGCCTCATTAAAAGTAATATCTTATAATGGAAAACAATTTATAAGCCAATTACTTGAAAATCTTTTTACAGGACTTGGCATACGCCATCTAAAAATAGTACCATATAGGCCACAATCGAATATAGCGGAATGCGTAAACAAAAATATTGTTAAAATTATTTGGGGATATATTAGGAATTATCATGATCGTTGGAATAGCTGTGTTGGGATAGCTGTGAATTAGCTTTTGCTTTAAGGACGGCGAAACATGATACTACGCAAAAGCACCCCACAGAACGTTTTTTAGGGAGGAAGATTTTAACTCCCTTAGATAAACTGTTTTTGTGCAACAAAGACAAAAAGAATTTAAGTTAAAGGACATTAAAAAAATCATAGATGAGGCGGTAAGAAACTCGGATTCAGCTAGACAGAAACAGAAAATTTACTACGATAAGAATAGACAACAGGTAGAATATTCTGTAGGTCAAAAAGTTCTGAAAGTAAAACATTACTTATCATCTGCGCCAGAAAACAGAATCGCCAAGTTTGAGCCGAGGTTCGAAGGATCTTTCGTCATCACAATCTTATATTTAATTTATACGAACGGTTAGAAAACGGTTGCTAACGTTTATCAAGTAAAACCGTATTACAGTCGAACTGATTTTGAAGTTTCATAAGATCTCTTTCAGGAACTTGGAAGCGAACCAAGAAGTACTGATGTGCAAACCTCGCAGTTGGACCCCCCACCCAGCGAAGAAAAGGAAACCTGCTGAAAACTCTTACGGAAGACAAACAAAGTGAGTTCCGGCACTACGAAGTCCAGGGCTGGCAGAAAAAAAGGAAGATGTCATCGAATGGAAAGTCAGCTAAGTGAGTTCCGCCACAACTGGTCCCAGGGCTGGAGGAAAGGAAGACACCAACCATGACGGGAAAGAGAACTGTTCCCCACAGAGGGTTCCGGTCTCAAAGAAAGAAACCTCATCAGACGTTCACGGTTACCTAAACTTTCAACAACCACTCCAGGGAGGCCGGGCATAGCGGAGCTAGTCGACACACGGAACTGACTCCGTTAGCTCAGATAAACCCCAGTGGGAACGGCCCTTAAAAGGTCAGCTGAGTCTACATCCACGTCCCTCCCGCAAACAATGAAGTCCAAAAGAAGAGTAAAGGACCCGAAGGAAAGGAAAACCCCACCGGAAATTAAGCGCAGAGCGAAGTAACAGAATCCTCAACCGGAAAGAAGGGCAGCTCGAATCGCCGAGAGAGGATTACAGAGGAAGGAATTCTTGAGAGAAAATGTACGCCGCCCTAGGAAGAAAATTCAACTCCAAAACCTGAATTGCCGCAACTGAGAAGATTTTGTACACAGAATAATGAGAGAGTTCAGAAAGCAAAATGATACGTGAAACTTTTCTTTGTTTTTTTATTTAGACTTGAAGTTCAGTTTATATCATTTTGTTCAAAGTTGCTTTTTCTCAAAAGAGAACAATTGTTAAATGTTGCTAAAAGTAAGATTTTTTTTTCGTTCGCAAGTTCGTGACAAAATCTACTGTAAATATCGTTTAGTCTGAAAGACTTGAATTTACGGTTGAAATGGTTGTACACTAGAAGTTAAAATTAAATTTGTCGAAAAGGAGTGGAATCTATGTATAGCAACTGTGTACGCTTTGATGTAAAATGAAGCTGAAAATTTTATATGTTAAATGTGTAAAACTGTTTGCGCTGAAAGTAAATTTTATGTGATGATTGTAAAAGTGCTTCAAAGGCTTAAACTTTGTTTACATGAAATATTTGAATGAATGTGTTCAAGCTGGGCTTTCCAGTTCTTTAACGCGTGTATAGTATTGATATTGAGGTGTCATTTAAGGTCTAGAGTGTCTAAATTTTAGTTTTACTTTTAGAAAGTTGGTTAGATGGTAATGTTGTTCGCTTTAACATAACAGATTATATGTGATTATAAATATTATCTAAATATACAATAATAAGGTATTTCGTCCCTCCTTCCAGAATGTCTTCGTGGTGTAACGGTAGCATACTCGGCGCATATTCGAGAGGTCTAGGTTCAAATCCCGGTGAGGGCATTGCTCATTTTTCACGTCATCTCCTACTTCAAAATAACCTAATGACTCCAAAACCTTATAATTGTAAACATAAACTGAAATTTTGTTGACAAATGCGTTTACAAAACTATTTAAGCAAGAACTGCGTGTACTGGAAAGCAGTCTGTTAAAAGGTGTTGCAAAGCGGAGTCTATGAGACGCGCACTTAAGGAAGTAGTAAAGATGAATTTTTAGAATATGTATTACTGAAATTAAGGGTAAAAAACTGATAAATATTAAAAGACTTATTTCCTTATATTTTATAATAACTCAGTTACAAGTTTTAAATAATATTTAAAATAGAAAACCCTTTTTTTTTTTTTTTTGCCTTTCAGAAACATTCACAGAAAGTTAAGTACATGGAAATCAGTAGTAACGTATTTCACTATTAAAATAAAAAATGCTCTAATTTGAAATGAACCAAGCACAGCATTAATTAAAAAATAACTCTGATTTCTGATTTAAAGGATACATACGAAGGTAAAAAAATCATCTCATATTTGGGAAAGTATTTCAGGAAGAAGCTCTGTAAACAGGAAAGAGAAAATGCGTAATTTCAATATTAATAATACTTTTGCGTGCGTACGGGTTCGTTATGAATTGAATGCACAAGTCCGATGAAAAATGAACAAAATTTATTATTATCATAACAAATAAAACAAAATACTTCAATTTCCTCAGATATTCGTACAGTATTACAATGTCTCACAGTATTTATCTTTTAACTACTCAAACGTTCAACAGAACTTAATTCAAAACAGCTAGAGAAAGCTAATCCGCGAATTCGCTACAGTCAACAAGAACAATTTTCTAAACAAACTCTTAAAACAATAAATAAGTGACTAACTGAATTGAGAGGTTTTCCTCCTTTTTATAAGCTTCTTAAAACACGCTCGAGATTGTTCTAACAGTTTCTCGAAATCAAAAAGGGATATTAAATGCTATTAAATGTTAAATGCACGTACTCTTGTATTTTTTATTATGTATATAAATCTCTGTCACGTGCTGCACTGCACGGGGAATAAAACAATTTAATTTATAATTCTATTAACGTTTGCTATTTAAATACCAAATCCGTAACACTGACCCCTTCCCAAGAACTGCACGTCCCGGGCTCTACAATACCTGGACAGGAAGCCAAACTTACAACTAAAGCATAAATGCAATAATAAACATTACATTACAATAACAAACAACATGAACAATAAATGCAATAACTAACTTAAACAAATCGAATTCTATCAAATACAAGTCAAATCAAATACACATTTAGAAACAAAAAGGACCATGGTCTTATACTATTTACAATTATTTACACTATGTACTCTGGCCATCGTAATGAGCTAACCTGTCGTAATGAACGACTTTAGGCTTAGAGTTCGATGACTTACGGATACGAACCACGACGTGATTCAGCCTGTTTAGGACTGTGTACGGACGATCCCTAGGTGACTGTAATTTCGGACAGAGTCCCTTCCGTTGAGTCGGATTCGACAACCACAACTTGTCTCCTTCGTGGACTTGATATTTAGTAGCTCTTGTGTCGTATCGGGTCTTCACGTTCTCCGTCGCCAAGTTGACTCGCTGTCATGCAAATTTGTGCATCACTTCAAACCGAGCCTGGAGATCTTGAATATATTCCTCAGGCGACGAAGGAGCATCCGAGGGCGACCAAACAGCCGGTCACAAGGCAGACGAAGGTCTCGACCCGGACAGCATCTGGAACGGAAAATAGCCGGTAGTCTGGTTTTCCTCTTCGACCCTAGTATGATTTCGGCAGCTTTCTGAGTAGGGTCTTTCACATGAGACGTCGGCGTTTCCAATCCGAGTATGCATAGATCTGTAATTTCCGCCATATGCCGTGTGATTGTATGCGGCACTTCCAAACGTGATGTTCACGTTTAACTTTCCAGCTATGTCGATCTTATCACCAGATGCAGTCTGAAGGGTAACATAGGATGGCGTCCAAAAACGTTTATCTTTAAACTGTTGAGCTAAATCTCCCCGAATGATGGTAACATTAGCTCCTGTGTCAATGATTATATTTGCTAGGAACTCCATCGATATGTCCATTGATGGACAGTCCGTTACTGTTGCCACTTACTGTAGAAATCTTGAGAGCTTTAAAACAAAGTTTTTCATTATCTGGCAACCTCCGTTCCTCAATATGGTCATTAATTTGTTTCCTGCGTCGTTGCTGAGAAGAGGGTCTCAATTTCCGTCCTCTGGGGTGTTCTGGAGTTACCTCGCACGTGACCTTCAGCTCCACAGTTTCAGCACTTTGGTTTCTTATCACTCCTTTTTCGTCCGATGGCATTTAATTGTCTGTTCAACTCGTCTGTCTTATTTTCCGTGCTCTGGGGTGTTCTGCAGTTCCTTCGCACATGGCCTTCAACACCACAGTTCCAGCACTTTAGAACTGGTTTCTTTTCACTTCTGTTCTGTCTTAAGCTACTGACCTTGTCCGGTAAAATCATCTTCCGTCTTAGGTGACCTCCATTACCACATCTCTAACACTTTTGAGCCACTTTGTCCTCACTCCTACTCCTTATCAAAGCGCCGCCTTGTCTGGATAAATCATCTAAACGAGCCATCAATTGATCCACTGACTCGTGGACTCGCAAAGCTCTGACTGGGTAGCGATCTCTACGAATGCTTGCTGAGCTGCCTCGAATTTTACGGCGTACAACAGAGCTCTTTTTATGTACTTTGCATCCGCCATTCGCAGAGCTTACTGTATTTCAGGATCCCGGATGACGCTGATGAAGTATTGCAGCGACAGGATTTCCCTTGTTTCTGTCGGGCACTCAGAAAAGGCGAGATGGGACAGCCTTTCAACATCCGTGGCGAGCTCCTGAAGTGCTTCCGTGGGCTTCTGTTGTCCGGATTTTTATTGAAGCCTGCTGTAGTCTTTCAAACACTTTTCCCCAAAGCACAGCTCCAATGCGCCGGACAGAGCTTCGAAATTTAGCCTTTGGTTTTCGGGAAGAGTTTGAAGGATATCCGCTGCGTCTGCGCTAAAAAATAAAACGGCGAAATGACAGGCCTTAGCTTGGAAATCCCATCCATTCCCATCCGCAAGTATAGAAAATTGTGTCTTATATACTTACCAGGAGGTTTTCTCATCATACGTGGATAGCTTCAGAGATGGTCGAACAAGCATCAGTAAAAATTTAAAACTCTCAGAATTGCTCCCTTACGTCGCTACGAATTTCTTTAAGGCATCAATTTCCTTGGCGACCAAAGAAGCCCTGTCATCAATTTGTTGTTCGATTTGCTGTTGAACGACACAAACTCTTCCTTCGATTTCTTCCTTGACTGAAGAAACTCTTTTTTCTATTTGTTCTTTTACAGAAGAAACTCTTTCTTCAATGTATCGAACTTTATTTTCAACATCGTCCATTCTGCCTTCGATATCTTCAAATTTGTTTTCTATTATGCAGGTAATTTCCATTTTCATTTCTTCTTGACCTGCTTGAACGGCTTTCATCACGACCTTAACGGAATCTTGGCCGAATTTCATCTTTCCTTTAACGGAGTGAACGGCCCCTTTCATCTTTTCTTCAAAAGCAGCAAATGCAGACATCCGTTGCCTGAATTGGTCTTCCATCACTCTTGTAATTGGCTCACAAGTCCGATGAAAAATTAACAAAATTTATTATTATCTCAACAAATAAAACAAAATGCTTACATTTCCTCAGATATTCGTACAGTATTACAATATCTCACAGTAGTTATCTTTTAACTATTCAAACGTTCAACAGAACTTAATTCAAAACAGCTAGAGAAAGCTAATCCACGAATTCGCTACATTCAACAAAGGCAGTTTTCTATAAAAACTCTTAAAACAGCAACTAACTGAATTGCCAATACCAATGATTTAAATTCCGGAGTGCCTATGGTTCAAACATAACTGAATTTGATCTTTGATCGTATCTTTATTTCTAGCCTCAACCTCCATGAGTTTTTACCAGTATCATGAAAATTACAACCATTCTTTATTTGCTAGGTTTAAAATTAATAAAGATGTATATTAGTACATCAGCGCACAGGGGCGAAAGTCAAACAAAATGAAAGTTCATGAGTTTGTAAAGTCTGTAGGAAGGATGTTCTGCATCTTGCGCTATGCTAGCGTGAAGGCAGTCAGAGGAGAGTCATGTGATCTTGAGAAGGCACCTGGTTGGTCAGCTTCAAAGTAAGCAGAGTTCGTTAAAAATTCTTAATTAAGCTAGAAAATTGCTTAGTTTGATATAAATTTTTGTAGTCTGCTTTAAAACGCTTTAATAGTCCATAGGAAAAATGGCTTATGAGAACCAATGCAGTGCAGTTAGAGCTCGAAGCATAAAATCATAAAATAAACTAAGTACGAAACAGATAAAATCTTAAGTAAATAAAACTATTTAAAGACTACATGTTGAATAATAATATGTCAGAATGAGGAGAGTTGAAATAAGTGCAATTGTGGAATTGTAGTAAATTAAACTAGAATCCAAGCAATACTCGTAAATAATCGAAAGCGGCTATGCCTACTTCGATTTTACTCATCATTGATTCGCAGTCCTGAATTTTTGAAGGAATTCTTTTGCTTTATTAATGTATACATTTGTGGCATTGCACGGGTTCTTTCTGGATTTAGTATATGGGGTGATAAAGACACCTAATCCCTCAGATCGTTATGTCATAAACTTTTTCCTTCAATATCTCGTTGCATTCAACTTGAAAAAGTGTAATTAAGAATTTTCATTCTTACAGTATGCGAAGAACTTTAAACAGGAATACTTTTTTGTTGAATTCTTGTTTAATTATTTCTGGATTAGAATTCTTTTTGAGTTTTAATAACCGCTTTTTGTGGTTTTTCATTATAGCTTTAAAGCTTTTATATTGTATCCCACCGGGTAGGAGGCTATAAAATCTGAAGTGATGAGGATATAGACTGGATAGATTAAGCTTTCACCTTTGATGTTTTCCTAAGTAATGAGTGATACCATTACTTCAATTTCTTCCTTACGTGCATCCCAATCCCCCGTGAAAACATCGAGAACAATTGGGGGAAATGTGTTGGCTTTTTATTTGAGGATTCTGATTCACAGAAATTTCCTCGTCCATTTGATCATCATCACTAAGATTAGCAAATTTTTTCGACTGAGTTGGTTCATTTTGATTCTCGTCCGATGGACGTTTAACTAAGTTACGAGGGGAAACAAATCGTTCGCTGTCAGTTAGGGTGCGTTTTTTCTTGTTAGTAACTTTAGAAGTGGAAGGAACATTTTTATCAACCTTTTAATGCAAACTGTTTTCTTTTGTTGTTTGTGTTAAGTTTGATTTCTTTTTGAGATCCTCAATCAAAAGTAGAGTATTATCAATTTCTTTCTGCACCTCTTGCCAATATACGGCGCGACGTCTTTTATCATCTTCGGGGCCTTTACTGTCAGTAAATTTATCAAAAATGAGAAAAAAAAAAACCTTTTGATAGTTAATTCACTAAGTTTCCTTCCAACCTTCCTTTGGTTTCTCAATGCTCAGTCTTCCCCGTCCCATATTGATGTTTAATGCTAAACTAGCAGAACTAGCAATGATGCTAGTTTCCGTATTAGTTGGACCAATGGATATGATAGTTAACAGACATATATTTACTGCACTATATTTACTATTATCAGAATTAATTCATTCTCACATACCTGATGCACACCGTTCTTCAATTCTCCAACTTCTTCAACTACCTCATGAATTATACGACAACCTTGCAGCTTTGCCACTTTCTTTTGAGCAGCCACCATTTTTCTAGCGCTGATATATCCAGCCCCATTGTCTTCCAGCGCAGCATACTCATTCTCCTGGAGTTTCAGAAATGGATATCTATTAAAATGACAGCAAAAGTTACAAATCTTGCATTCTTTCATTTTAAAGCGATTAGTCAATTATTCAAGGACATGAAATTTGCAAGTTAGTCTCCTGATGTATTAATTACTACCTTAAAATTTTACTTCTAGGAATATTTTCATGCATTACAGACAGATATTTGATGATTTACCTCATTTGAAATATTTCTTCACGGTGAAAATCAACATTAGGCACATCACATATGGCTATCATCTGCACCATTTTGTTCATGATTGAACTCTTTCTTTGACCAATGTACAGAAATCCAACGGGATAGTGAAAATGTATACCTATTTGAAAGCAAAAATATAAATATATCAATCAGATATTTTCTATAAACGAAATTCACACCTAAATCATTATGTAACTAGACGTGTGTACTTGCTGTTATCGCTGTGATTTATATGAACTTGTCTGATATTTAAAAGTCTATGTTTATTCTCCAGAAATTTCAAAAGCGATTTTAGGTTTCGATTATGGATGAAGACTTTGCTTGTGATTAACTACCTTAATAATTTATACGAGTAATTTATAGACCGAAAATAGTACAAGAGAATTCTTGTATGTGCAATTTAAGTCTTCTAAATTAAATTTACTTTATAATATGAAAACTGAGGACATAAACTATTCACTTATGGGGCTTAGGTCTATACTAGTAAATTTGACATGTTTCTTAAAAAATACATTTTGCGAGTCAAAAGAATCTTTTGAATAATATCTTATTTCCAATTAACAAAATATCTGTATAATTCTCTGTAAAAATATGCTTTAAGTTTTTCCCAACAGTTTAAATATTCATAATAATATTCAATAACAAAAGCAGGTTTATACTGGTATGTTTTTCGAAAATATTTCAAATTAATTTTAAAACCACTTTTATCATTTCATGTGAAACTATAACTTTTCATTGCTCCTTTTCAGTATTTCTCATATTTTTTGTTAATTCAGCATAACGGAAGATTTTCCTCTATCCAATTCTTATTTAATTTCAAAATTGTACTTTAAACACTTCAGAAATATATTTTTGGAATTAAAAAAATAGCTGCCTTTTAAAATAAAATGTCTCTTATTTTACAAAGTTGATTGCTCGAGACGACAATATAGAATTCTTTCTGTACCTCCTAAAATTATACAGTATTTCTAGATCTATTAGAGAAATCTGATTAATAAAAATACGAAGTGATATCAAAAGGTTTCAAGACTACTTCCATAGCTCGCCAGCAGATGCCATCGTAAAGCTACACGCATAGGCACAGAGAGAACTGTAACGATCCTCAGTTTCGGAACATCATGTTTAGAGGACTTCCTGTTTACATGGGAATTTACCGAGTATTCGCTAAATGGCCCGAAAGCAATCAAGAGAAAAACTCCGTTAAAGACACCCTTCGCTTGTGCGGTTTCCTTGCGAAGCAAACGAAAAAGGAAAGGAAGGAGCTTTTGTCCGAGAAATGCCGTAAATATAAAGTTGTGCGACTGTCTTATCAGCATCTAGCGGAAGCTGTGTCTTATTTTTCCGTAACTGTGCTGATGTTTTATGAATATTTAACTCAAAAATCTTTTTTTTTTTTTTTTTTTTTTTTTTAAATTTTAAAATAAATATTAAAAGACCACTGAAGTTCTGCAACTAGTGCTATTCTAACCATGCGGATTAGTAAATTTGAAGTCGTGCAAGTCGGCTATTTCATCATGGACAGCAAGTTAGAACAATGACCGAGCGTCACATTCTGTGTAAAATTGGGCAAATCCGTCATATAAAAGATTCAGAAAGTGTATGGCAATGTTAGAATGAGTCGTTCAAGGTTTTTTGAGTGACACGCGGGTTCAAGATCAGAAGAACGTCTCTGGAAGACGACAAAAGTTCAGGACGACCTTCAACGCACATAACATCCGAAAATGTCGAAACCACTTGATACCTTAACCATGAGGATCATCGGAGAACAATCCACAACATACCTCTTATTGTCGGTGTGTCATACAGAACAGTACAGGCAATCCTTGAGTGTGATTTGACATGCGCCATGTTGTTGCTACGTTCGTTTCCGGTCTGCTGACCCAGGAGCAGAATGAACACCGCTTCGAAACCTGCCAAGAACTAAGTCAGTATGTCGTGGATGACACGTCATTCGTATCAAGGATCATTACCAGTGATGAAACTTGGGCGTACAGGTACGATGAGTAAACAGAGGTTAAATTGTTTACCCATCTGGAAGCCGCCTTATATCTTTGAGTTTTATTTGGATAAAACTGCATGTGATTTCTGTATTGGCTCAAATTTAATGTTTAATAATGTGCATATCACATACCATTATTTTAGATTACCTGATAATTCTTCTAACTCTTGATATCGTCTGATAGAATGCTTTGACAATATTTGGCAAGCGGGATCGTCACCAAGAATTTGGGTTATTCTTCCTTCGTCATAATGTGATGAAAAGATGTCACGCTGCTGTCTTTCTTCTGACTTTATGTAAAATAGTTAAATAGATAGTTAAATTGAGGCAATATAATATGTTATAATGCAAAAAAAGTTTAGTTTATTGCATTAGTAAATCTGAAGTCGTATAATAATATTTAACAACTTATATTCTTAATACAAGTAACCCTCATATAACCCGGCAAAATTTTTTAATTCTACATAAACAAATTAATTTGTATTAAAAATATGTACCTATGTATAACACAAAATTTTAAATATTTTAATTTAACGCAATTTTAGTTTAACAAGTTTCTTCGTCGTCATTGCTCAGCATAATTAACCGAGAACGGTTTTTCGGTTGAATGAGATCGCTTTCACTTTCAAAATTTCGTTTTTCGCGAAAAACTCTTCTTTCTTCATGAAAACTTTTGGCATTTTCTTCCCTCTTTAGAAAATCTGTAATTTTACTTCCTTTACCAGTTCTTACCGGATCATTGGAAATTTCTCGATATGGAGCTAGACAGTTTAGCAGCTCCCTTTTGAATTTTCGGTTTATTTCAGCGGAAGGGTCTGCACTCAAGAAATATGGCTCGAGATTTTAAGCCAAACTTAGGCCTTCTTTTAATTTTTTAATGTTAATTTACTAACTGCAGAATCTTCATTAGTGCTAGTGTCCTCAGAATAAATTTGATTTACAGCTTCGAATGCCATTTCCATCAAATCTGCTTCGTCAAATTCTTCTTCCACTAATAAATCTTGAACGTCCACAATAATCATATCAAAAAAACCTTCGCCAGCGATTGATATAGCAATTTCTAATATGCCACTAATTTCACTTTCTGAACGATTAACGCACGTTTTCTATTTCACCTGAAGATGGCTAAATTTTCTTCTAACATGCATTCAACGTCGATGCTTTCAGTTCTTTTAGAAACAAAGATATGATGTCGATACTTTGCTTGATTGAAAATGTCTTCAAAGCTTCCATTACATTAATTGATTTTGAATCGATTACGTCTAAAATCCACTGTAATGCTCTTCTTATGCAATATGTTTTAAAGATGCAATATGTTTTAAAGATGCAATATGTTTTAAAGGTAATATTGTACCTTGATCCAATGATTGGAGTAATAAAGAAGTGGTAGGTGGCAGGAACAGTAGTTTGACGTTGGAATGATTCAAATCTTGTGGGTGACATGGAGAATTATCTAATAGTAATAGAGCCTTGAAGCTCAAATTTTTCTGCCTTAAATAATGTTCAGCATCTGGCACAAAACAACTAAAAACAAACCTTTAAATATATTCTGAGTTTTCCAAACTCTTGGATTTGCTTTCCAATATACCGGTAAGGTGTTTTCATTTACGCCTTTAACTGCACGAGGATTTAAAGATCTATAAACTAACAAGGGTTTTGTAATAAAGTCCCCCCACGCATTACTGCACAAAATTAGCATTAGATAAATTTTAGACACCATAAATCCGGATGCAGATTTTTCTTTTTCCTATATAAAAGTTTTTCTGGGCATTTTTTCCACAAAAGTCTTGTTTTGTCGGCATTGAAAACTTGATCTGCTGTGTATCCTTGTTCTTCTGTAATATTTTGAATTTTTTCAGGATACGTTCTAACAGCTTCATAATCAGCCGATGTAGATTCTCCTAGAATTCTTATGCTATGAATTGCAAGAAACTTTTTGAAATATTTGAGCTAACCTTCATTTGCCAGAAAATCTGGATTGACAGAAGATTCTCCATGTTCTTTAAGGTGCTTGAAAATTTTGTGTCCTTTTTGTTTAGTGATATAAACATCCAACGGAATTCTTTTTGAAAGCTATCATGAATCCAAATGGGCGCCCGAGGGGCTAGCTGTACTTTTCGCGGATGCCGAAGATCCTGCAGCAACTGCATTTCATATTTCTCTTTCATTTTCCTTAATAGCCCGGATTGTTGCTTCATTTAAATTAAAACTTTTTCCTATGTGAGATGCCTTTTCTCCTTTTAAAAGACGATCTTTACTTTTAAAGAAATACATTTCCTCTTAAACTTTTCGTTATCTTTATCGGACATGTTTTGTTGCTGAAACTTAATGTCTTAAAGACGAAAAAGTTATTCTTTCACACCTTGGCTCAAAGCAGACTGCCGAGCAGCAGCGTGAGACACTTTGTTTTCAGGCCAGGTAGATGATGGTTCAAATTTTAAAAGCCGAACATTCAGGTTGTGCGGTTTAGAGCACTTATTATGACTTCATGTTGTTCACCTTCTGCGATAGTGAGGTTTTTTTCATTGTTATCTGGTGATTGTGCTTCTTGTGTTACTATGCCTTGAAGGCCATCGAAGGAAACGATTTTCCTCGTTAAGAATAGTTAAGAATTCAACGATCGCTGTCCACCATGTGGCTCGTCTCACTGAGGACATTTGTTCTTACGGGCACCGGATCTTGGAAGACAACTGGCAGAACTTAAGAAACGATGATTCTTATGTGTTAAATGACAATAGGGGTGCTTTGATCGATATGGAAAAACTTCGTGTGGAGTTCCTTAAATTTCTTCGGATTGCTTAAGCAATTTTCACGATAAGAAACACTCCTACAACACTGTTTTCCGTGTTGTAGAAGGGTTCTCGCAATTTATGAATCGTTTTATAACGAAACTGTGTTAAAGGATGCCGTGTTGTAAGAGGGCTACCTGTACTTTTGTGGGAAATACTGCTATAATTCTTTGCCTCCAAATGCTGTAGCTTAAAATATACATATTTACTTCAAATGTAATTGGAGTATTGTATTTGAAGGAATATAAACTTTTTTGAAACCATTGTTTTGTATAAATGAATAATATTTTTAATGTGGCTTAAAGCGCTCTTTCTGACGAGACTGCAAGGCCTCCGAGCGGTAAAATCGCTGAGCACTGGTAGTTGGTAGTTCCGACCTGGGTTCTATTCCAGGGAAACGTATGGGAGTTTTACGGTTTCCCCATGTCTAACGTGTATGCGAGTCAGTTTCCCTCAGAAAGTACTCCATGTAAACATCTCTCCCCTTAGGCAGATAGCCCTAGTGTGCTTTGCCATATACAACTAAACCAAACCAAACCAAACTGACAAGAGTGCCAAGTACGTTTCTTTTTAATTTCGTATTTTTAAGAAGCTAACTTCTGCAAATTAGTTAAATAGTGTATTTTTCATTCAAAATTGCTTCATAATTTTTTTACTTATATTTTTACTGTCTTGACACGGTTAAAACAATAAGTAATATCAAAATTTTGTCGTTCTTCTTTATTAGTCGCACTTATATTTAAGGATATGCATAGTCTTGTGTTTGTCATGAGAAACTGAACATAAATGGAATTAGATGTAAGCTAAAAGAAAGGTTAAATTATTAGACATATACAAAGCCCTCTAAATGTTATGTAATAAATTGTGTACAGCAGTAAACACAAAGAATAAATATACTAATAATGGATTCAAAGCTAAGTTAGGTATTACCATTTAATCTTTAATATAAATTGTTCATGGTTATTACCTTTGGTTCGTCAGGTCCTATCAAACAAACTTTCAAAGCTGCATTCGCTGAAGCATGTCTAGCGGCGGCGGATCCAAACAAACCAGCACCAATAATGCACAAGTCGTAAATTTCCTCAGCCATCACTTCTGTTTACTGCAAGACAGAGAAAATAAACGGCACTGAATGAAAATAACCTGAAACACTTTTTATGCTGCACTTCTTTTGAACATTTTTCACGAATTAGCTTAGCTTAATTAACTGATTCCTCTATATTCCGGTCAATTTTTGTCGTGAAGGAGTCAAACTTCTTATGATTTTACTATTTCATAATGAGCATAAAACTCTCTCTCTCTCTCTCTTTCTCTCTCTCTCTCTCTCTCTCTATATATATATATATATATGTAATGAAAACACAACATATTTGAATAGTTGATGATATCTCCTGGAATGATGAATTTGCAGATACTATTTTACAGAAACTCAACTGAGGAATATATGTTCCATTGAGGGATCCATGCACGTAATCCATGTCGACTAAAAAATGTAATGATAGCACAATTTCGGAAGCACTGAGATATAGATGTGCAAAAATACTGATGACGTAAATATACTTGATGCTTAGAATGTCCATCCATTTTGAAGAATAAGCAGTCGAGCCGGATTAAATTCTACTATATTTATTTAAATTCAGATTTTGGTGGCCGCAATTCACTTGGCACTCCAAACGTGCCTATTTCTAGAACAATTTGGATACTATTGTGATATAAGCGATCATTGTAGCACATAGAGGATTGCAACAAAGCGTCTGGCCACGAAGAAAGCAAAAGCGAAAAAAGGAAGTGTCGCAGTGAAAGAAAGAAAAAGGCAGAGGTGATAGAGAAGCATTTACGAGAGAAAAAGCATTACAGCAGCAAAATATGAGATATATAATTTTGAAAAATACACAATATAATATTAGCTTTTGAACTATAAAATTGTAATGCGTAAAGTTTTGAGTTCAATAATAATTTAAAGCACTGTTATTTTTTAAAATAATTGCGTATTTTTAGAGACCTTATTAAAATTTGTGTCCAATCTGTAAAATGTTCTTATTCTTGGAACATTCACATCACGATTTTGATACTTCAGGGCAAGATTTCCAGAAGATTTTGCACGCAAAATCACAATTATAAAAATTGTATATACCCATTAATTATTACGAATAATCATAAATCTTAAAATTTTACACCTTACTAATTTTCACATTTGTAAGTAGCATGTTATCATTTGTAATGGCAGTTTTGAAATTATGGTTTTTACTTGTATTATTACATTTTACAATTTTCTTATTTTACACAAACTGGAAGACCCCACAGCTTTCTCGTAGTACACGCATATCCAGCTATTTGGACAAATCCACTTTAAACTGACTTATGTTCTAAATTTTCATGAGTGGTTAACATATTGCGAGACTCTACCTGAATTTCAATCTTTCAGTCGGTTCTCCATTAAATAAACGTAAAAGAAGAATTTGTAATTGAAAGAAGTAGGCAATCCGGCTAAGGAATCAAATTAAAACAGGCAATCTACCTAAAATAATCAAATTAAAATCAACCTTAGTACGAAAATATGGCACATTTTCGCCTTTCTTTGTATTCTAAAAATAAACTAAAAGTATACTGTTGCTAAACATGAAAAATAACTTTCAGAAAATAGTGCGATTTCACAAACGTTGAGTTGATTGCAACATAAGAATTGCTTTTGACAGTTACTTATTAGGCCCACCAGCGGCCGAGCGGTAAAGTCGCTGAACACTGGTAGTTCGGTCCGAGGTTCGAATCCCGCGAACGGGCTGGCTGCAAGGGCGTTTTCGTGGTTTTCCCCATGTGTAACGTGTATACGAGCCAGTTTCCCTTAGAAAGTCCTCCACGAAGGCATCCCTCCTCTTAGACAGATAGCCCTCGAGGCTTTGCCATAATCACACACACGCACGCAGTTACTTATTAAAGACCTCCGTCCCTTGTTTAAAAGGCAACTGGCCCTTTGAATTGCACTATACATTCCATTATATTAAAAAAATAATCACACTCCATTATATGAAAAAATTAAAAATCTTACATAAAAAATTTAATTTAGTGGGAGCCTTCAGAGTTTATTATATGAGGAGGGTAAACGGAACAATTATACAGAAGTAAAACAGGCCTCTGTTTCTGAACCAGTACTCGCTGAATATACTTTATATTTAACATACAATTATTAATAATTACAGCATTCCTTTAGCATAATTCCAAACAAATTTTTATACATTTTATTCTTAATTGAGTTCTCATATAAATTTTATCACAATTATTATATTATTATCACAATTATTCAGTTTTTTAAACCTTTGGTATTTCTATATTAAATTTACGAATATTTAATTCTTCTCCCATTTAATAATTATTTCATTTATATTTCAGTTACACATCATTCGCAAAATAATTAGGAAATTCTTCAAATTCAAATTTTTAAACAATAATCGTATTTACAAAATAATTCTAAAATTCTTATCTTGTTAGCAAATTAATTCCAAAATTCTTAACATTAATTAAAAAATTTCGACAAAGCTCCCAAATAACAATAAAATTTAATAATCTTCCCTGAATAAAATCTTAGAATACTTATACATTTTAATTTGATATTTTCATAGCACAATGCCATATTACATTTTCAGGTTTCAAAATATAACCAACTAGCAGCTAAGCTTTGTCTGGCTTTTAAATGTATCGGAAAAATGTCATAAGGTAATAAATACCAAACTTTAAATTTAGAAACTGCGCAGAATTTTACTCTGCAGAACAACTTCATAAAAAAATAAATAAAAAAAATATTACATAAAACAAAATTACAATGAAATAAGCAATATCCCTTAATACAAATATTAATTATCCTAACAAATGAATTAACCAATTTCCCGTTGCCTTCTCTCAACAAACGTCCAGTACTCAGGAGAAACCTTAAATTTAAAAACCGCACAGAATTATCGCCCTCATTTTTCCAATCCGCAACAGTGCTCATTTTCAACATTCAGCAGTCCAGTATACAATTGAATGAAAAACTGTTGCCAAAACCACATTTCTGAAAGAATGAAACTGTTCAAAATGATGCGATAAAATCGAAAAAATAAAAAAGATAAAATAAAAAAAATCTGATTCGAATTTTGAAAATATCGCTTCCAGGTACACTGGCTTTTGTCTAGATGCAACAATATACCAAATTTCGTAGCCCTCGAAAGCGTGCACGAACACGCAGCATGCGCAGCACCAGCACGGGCGAAAGACACAAAGACACACAGACTCTTTTTACTTCCTTGTACGAAGTAAAAAGGAAGTATTGTAATCACGAAAAGTTTCAGGCAGCATATTTCAAAGAAAATATCCATTTTGACCGCTATCGAATGCAATTTAACGATGTTTTTGCGTGATATCTGTAAGTAAGGGACAGAATAGAATACTCTTTTCCTCCAAAAAAATTATCAAACTGCTTTAAAATGAATTCTGAAGAGAATTTTTCGTGACGTCTGTACGAACATATGTATGTACGTACGTACGTATCTCGCATAACTCAAAAACGAGTAGCCTCAGAACGTTGAAATTTTGTATATAGGACTGCAATAAAATGTAAATGTGCACCTCGTATTTTGGTTGCAATCGGCGGCACCAAACATATATAAATATATTTATATATATATCCACTCTGTTACCCGGCTCAGTGATCTCAGTTTCTTTACTCTTATATGTTTGTAAATTGTACATTTTTGGCTTTAAAAATGATTGAATTATGTTGTTCTTATCTTCCGGTTAAAGTTTTTATGCCTTTAGTATATCTGCAAGCAATATTTGTACAATTATCAACAATTTAAAAGCTGTTTAATTGCTGCTAACCCTTTTTTTTAATGGCGGTCATTGATGTTTACATTTGAAACAGCAGAATAGTAGATTTGTTGCCAATCTAGAGAGACTAAGCTTCGCAATAACAAAGATAACGCCTTCATTTATTATTGCGAATTAAATCATGCTTAATCCTTTCTGGAATTTTTTCGAGGAAATAAGGGTTTAAGATTTACTTCGTAATTTTTAATACAGAGATATTTTGAGTTTTATGTATTTTTTTGCCTTGTCGCGATGAGAGAACTGAATTAATTGAATGAGAAATACTCAATCGTCTGGGAAAAACTGTTTCTTTTTTGTTTTGTTTGCTTAATTTCTTTTATACATCATTCTAGCTTTATTATAGTGTTTGAATAGAACATGTGGCAACGATTAGATAATTCTTTAAATGATATAAATTTTGTGCATTCTGAGTTATAATATGAACGAAATATAATACTGTTAAGTGAACCTAGCGCCAGATTGTCGCTATGGTAAACAAATAGAATGAATTTTAAAGAATGCATTTATTCTATTGTGGTTTATGCGCTGTCGGCGAAGTAGATTTAATTCAATCCAATAAGTTTAAATGAAATGCAAGAAAAATGCGTATAATTTAATATTCCGTACAAGGAAGTCATGTGGCGTACACATCAGATTTTTTTTATTATATGTAGATATTATTGAGTACGTTATTTGCAATGATGTACGTGGAGAGAAACTCAATTTTTTTAGCACGATTAAAACACATTTTTCAATATCACAACTTGATTTTCTGGATGTAAATAAGTTTGAAACAAATAAATTTTGAAATAAATCACATTTCGACACCACTTTTAATAACATATCACTTTCTATACAAGATAAGCACTTATGAAGACATCGGTAAATAATTTTCATATTTGTTGAAAAACACATCGCCTAGAAATTTTCACGCTGCATACTTTGATATTACAGTGACCTTTGCCTTGAGTCGGATTTCAAGTAGTGATGACCACTATGAATAATTTCTGTTATCCATTATTTAAACAATGATAGAATAGTTCAATAACTTTTGCATTAGGTGTTCCAAGCACTTGAGACATGTATGTCCGTTCTAAAATGACTGCACCGATAAATGTAATAATAATAAAGCACAAATTTAAAAGCACTGTTGGTAAGACCACTACGACATGGACACGGAGAAATACTAATGGCACAGATACGTGAAGCTTAGAACGTCCATCCATTTTGAAGAATAAACAGTTGAGTCGGATTAAATTCTAT